TTATTATTATTAACATGCCTCTCCTTGTGGCATGAGGCCGGTAATAGATGACGATGAGCCTATGCAAGATCACAGAGTAAGAAATTTAGCATGTTGATCACTTACTTACTTACTTACTTAGGCGATCCCTCGTTGGACGAGTAAGATGGTCTTCCATTATGGATTTCCTTGTGGGTCCGTATGTGGCTGTGGATCCCTGCATCTTCTTCCGCAGTGAAGGCATTGGTTTCCAGGTGGAAGGCAGTCCCGGTCAGGGTTGGCTTGATGTGCCTTCCTCCTGGCACGTTTCTCTCTTTCACCCTCCACTCGTGCCTCCTCGAATTCTGCAGCACTGCTGGTCACAGCTGACCTCCAGCTGGAGCGCTCAAGGGCCAGGGCTTCCCAGTTCTCAGTGCCTATGCCAGAGTTTTTAAGGTTGGCTTTGAGCCCATCTTTCAATCTCTTTTCCTGTCCTCCAACATTCCGTTTTCCGTTCTTAAGTTCGGAGTAGAGCAACTGCTTTGGGAGACGGTGGTCAGGCATCCGGACAACGTGGCCGGCCCAGCGGAGTTGATGGCAGAGGGCCATCGCTTCAATGCTGGTGGTCTTTGCTTCTTCCAGCACACTGACATTTGTCCGCTTGTCTTCCCAGGAGACATCTTCATCTTCTCCATCTTCATCGCTATGATACTTCACCTTGTTGATGGGAAGCTTCCCACCAGTGGAAATAATCTGTCGGACAGATGGCAAGCTATTCAACCTCAGCAAACTGAAAGCCAAAACCAAGGTTACAACAACATCTGTTATAGAACTCCAGTATGCTGATGACAACGTCGTCTGTGCGCATTCAGAAGAAGATTTACAAGCCACTCTAAACACCTTCGCAGAAGCATACGAGAAGCTCGGCCTGTCACTGAACATTGAGAAAACTAAGGTGCTCTTCCAGCAGTCACCAGCCAACCCCTCTCCAATGCCAGAAATACAGCTTAATGGTGGAACATTAGAAAATGTGGACCATTTCCGCTCCCTTGGCAGCCACCTCTCCACCAAAGTCAACATCGACACCGAAATACAACACAGCCTGAGCTCTGCAAGTGCAGCATTTTCCCGAATGAAGCAGAGAGTGTTTGAGGACCGGGACATCCGTAGGGAGACCAAGGGGCTTGTCTATAAAGCTATTGTCCTCCCAACCCTGCTCTATGCCTGTGAGAAGTGGACTGTCTACAGACGTCACATGCAACTCCTGGAACGATTCCATCAGTGCTGCCTCCGGAAAATCCTGCAAAAATGTTGATCAATAATAATAATAGTAATAATCATAATAATAATAATAATTAGTATTATTATTACTATTTACCTAACTCTCCTTGCAGCTTGAGGCGGGTAATACATGATGATGATGATTATGTGAGGCCCCTGGAAGATCTCAGAGTAAGAAAATTGGCATGCTGATCAATAATAAAAATTTTGTTTGTTTGTCGTGTCAGGACAACCAGTCAAATTATATTACATTTCTAACAGAACAAAGCAAACAAGCAGAGAAAATACAAAATTTGTGAGTTTGGTAGTTGATTAAATGTCCTTTGACCAGTTTCTGGCCACTTGTAGTGCCTCTGGTGTTGCCGCAAGAAGGCCCTCCATGGTGCATGTGGCAGGGCTCAGGTTGCATTGCAGCAGGTGGTCAGTGGTTGGCTCTTCTCCGCACTCGCATGTCGAGGATTCCACTTTGTGGCCCCATTTCTGAAGGTTGGCTCTGCATCTCGTGGTGCCAGAACACAGTCTGTTCAGCACCATCCAAGGCGGCCAGTCCTCTGTGTGCCCAGGGGGGAGTCTCTCATTTGGTATCAGCCATTGGTTGAGGTTCTGGGTTTGAGCCTGCCACTTTTGGACTCTCACTTGCTGAGGCGTTCCAGCGAGTGTCTCTGTGGATCTTAGAAAACTATGTCTTGATTTAAGTCGTTGACGTGCTGGCTGATACCCAAACGGGATGAGCTGGAGATGTCACTGCCTTGGTCCTTTCACTATTGGCTGCCACTTCCCAGCGGATGTCAGTCAGGTGGTGCAATACCGGCTAGACAGTGTAATTTCTCCAGTGGTGTAGGGCGCATACACCCCGTGATAATGCGGCATGTCTCATTAAGAGCCACATCCACTGTTTTAGCGTGGTGAGATGTGTTCCACACTGGGCATGCATACTCAGCAGCAAGGGCAGATGTCTTCACTGTATCTGGTTGTGATCCCCAGGTTGTGCCAGTCAGCTTTCGTATGATATTGTTTCTCGCACCCACTTTTTGCTTGATGTTCAGGCAGTGCTTCTTGTAGGTAAGAGCACGGTCCAGAGTGACTCCCAGGTATTTGGGTGTGCTGCAATGCTCCAGTGGGATTCCTTCCCAAGTGATCCTCAGAGCTCAGGATGCTTCTCTGTTCTTGAGATGAAAGGCACATGTCTGTGTTTTGGATGGATTAGGGATCAGCTGGTTATCCCCTCTAATAGCCAGTAAGAGCACCTAGAGCTTCAGAAAACTTCTGTTCAACCATCTCAAAGCTCCCTGCTTGAGCGGTGATGGCACAGTCATCAGCATAGATGAAGCTCTCTGTCCCTTCTGGCAGTGGCTGGTCATTTGTGTAGATGTTGAAGATGGATGGAGCAAGCACGCTCCCCTGAGGCAGGCCGTTCTTCTGTTTCCGCCATCTGCTTCTCTGGCCCTGGAACTCAACAAAGAAGCTCCTGTTTGGTAGCTGATTTCCTTGAGTGGTGATGGCACCATCATCAGCATAGATGAAACTCTCTGTTCCTTCTGGCAGTGGCTGGTCATTTGTGTAGATGTTGAACATGGATGGAGCGAGCACGCTCCCCTGAGGCAGGCCGTTCTTCTGTTTCCGCCATCTGCTTCTCTGGCCCTGGAACTCAACAAAAAAGCTCCTGTTTTGTAGCAGGTTTCCTATGAGGCGGGTGAGGTGGTTGTCCTTTGTGATATTATACATTTTTCTCAGGAGGAGGCCAAGGTGTTTCACAGTCTCATAGGCTGCGGACAGGTCTATGAAGACATGGGGACATGAGAGAAGCCTCCTCGCAGGATTGCAAGACATCCGGACATCTTCGTAGATGGCTGATTCTCTCGCCACAGAAGCGACCAGCATGCATGCAAGCAAGCAAAACAACCAACGGACCTTTTTAGGACCAACCATGACAATAATAATAATAGTAATAATAATAATAATTAGTATTATTATTACTATTTACCTAACTCTCCTTGCGGCTCGAGACGGGTAATACATGACAATGATGATTATGTGTGACCCCTGGAATATCTCAGAGTAAGAAAATTGGCATGCTGATCAATAATAATAATAATAATAATAATAATAATCTGACTCTTCTTGCAGCTTGAGGCAAGTAATAGATGACGATGAGCCTATGCAAGATCATAGAGTAAGAAAATTGGCATGTTGATCAATAATAATAATAATTGTTATTATTATTACTACTATTTACCTAACTCTCCTTGCGGCTTGAGGCAGGTAATACATGATGATGATGATTATGTGAGGCCTCTGGAAGATCTCAGAGTAAGAAAATTGGCATGCTGATCAATAATAATAATAATAATAATAATCTGACTCTCCTTGCAGCTTGAGGCAGATGATAGATGACAATGAGCCTATGCAAGATCATAGAGTAAGAAAATTAGCATGTTGATCAATAATAATAATAGTAATAATCATAATAATTAGTATTATTATTACTATTTACCTAACTCTCCTTGCGGCTTGAGGCGGGTAATACATGACGATGATGATTATGTGAGGCCCCTGGAAGATCTCAGAGTAAGAAAATTGGCATGCTGATCAATAATAATAATAATATTAATATTAATAATAATAATAATAATAATAATAATAACTATTTACCTAACTCTCCTTGCAGCTTGAGGCAGGTAATACATGATGATGATGATTATGTGAGGCCCCTGGAAGATCTCAGAGTAAGAAAATTGGCATGCTGATCAATAATAATAATACTTATTATTATTATTATTATTATTATTACTACTATTTACCTAACTCTCCTTGCGGCTTGAGGCAGGTAATACATGATGATGATGATTATGTGAGGCCCCTGGAAGATCTCAGAGTAAGAAAATTTGCTGATCAATAATAATAGTTATTATTATTATTATTATTATTATTATTATTAATCTGACTCTCCTTGCAGCTTGAGGCAAGTGATAAATTGTTGTTGTTATGTGGGACCCCTGGCAGGTCCCAGAGCCATAATAATAGTAATAATTTACCTGCCTTTCCTTGTGGCTTGAGATGGGTAATAAACGATTAATAATGAATACTAAATGAATGAAAATAATAATAATAACAATAACAATAATAACAATAATAATAATAATGGCAGTAAAAAGGTAAAGGTAGTCCCCTGACATTAAGTCCAGTCATGTCTGACTCTGGGGTGTGGTGCTCATCTCCATTTCTAAGCCAAAGAGCCAGCGTTGTCCATAGAGACCTCCAAGGTCATGTGGCCAGCATGACCACATGGAGCGCCGTTAGGCAGTAAGGGCTTTCAATGAAAATATGCTTATTCTTAATGCTGGCCCTTTGGCCTTGGAACACAGCCCCTCATGACATCTCTAGATCCCGGACTAAGAAAATTGGCATGTTGACGTTGTAGATCAGCCAGAGGTTTGTGGTTTAATGGATGACTTAGAGAGGATTGTGGGCTTTCTTGTGGCACAAAGTGAAGGGCCCTCAAGTCTGGGGAATTCAGGTCTGGGAAATGATGTTTGTGAGAAAACTGGCTCGGAAAGTGCAGGGCCTCAAGGCCAGTCCAAGGAGCCAGAAGTAGCAACAGCAGATAAGGAATCGAGTGAAGAAAACTCACCCCAGCCCAAAGTTTTTGCAGTTTACTAAATTTTCTCCATGTTTTGGTGATAGAACCAATTAGTAAACAACACTGATAACCCAGGAACAAAACCCGTGTTATGCTGTATGATATGCTTCTTTCATTCCAGGTGGAGAGTTACGTGGGCCATGTCCGGAGCCTAACCGAGGCCCGAGATGCTCTGGTGACCAGATACGAACGGGAGAACGAACAGCTCCGGACGGAGGTCACTCGACTGCAGCTGGAGCAAGGTAACCGAATCGTGTTTAATGCTCTTTTCATATATTTTTTATATTTTGAATTGTATTCTAATGCTTTAAAAGTTAGCCCGTTTGAGTCTCTTTATGGAGGGAAAAGCGGGATATAAATAAACATAATAATAATTATTACAATTATTATTATTAATATGAAATCTAGCAATAAATAAACATAATAATCGTAGTAATAATAATAATAATAATTATTATTATTATTAATACGAAATCCAGCAAAGCGGATTATAAATAAACGTTATTATTATTATTATTATTATTAATACGAAATCTAGCAAAGCAGGACTGTGTGATGTTATTAAAACGAAATCCAGCAAAGCGGGATATAAACATAATAACAATAATAGTAATAATAATAATAATAATAATAATAATAATAACAATAAATACAAAATCCAGCAAAGCAGGATATAAATAAACATTATTTTTTATTATTATTAATAATAATAATACAAAATCCAGCAAAACGGGATATAAATAAACATAATAATAATAGTAATAATAATAATAATTATTATTATTATTATTATTATTATTAATACGAAATCCAGCAAAGCGGGATATAAATAAACATAATAATAATTTCGAGGGAGAGAAGGAAGGAAAGAAAGAAGGGTAGAGAAGGAAGGAAGGAGGGAGAGAAGGGAAAAAAGGAATAGAAAGAAAGGTAGAGAAGGAAGGAGGGAGAGAAGAAAAAGGGAAGGAGAGAAGGAAGGAAAAAAGAAGGATAGAGAAGGAAGGAAGGAAGGAAGGAAGGAAGGAGAGAAGGGAAAGAAGGAGAGAAGGAGAGAAAGAAGGAAAGAAAGAAAGGTAGAGAAGGAAGGAAAGAAAGAAGGGTAGAGAAGGAAGGAAGGAGAGAAAGAGGGAAAGAAGGAGGGAAGGAGAGAAAGAAGGAAAGAAGGAGGGAAGGAGAGAAAGAAGGAAAGAAAGAAGGGTAGAGATGGAAGGAGAGAAAGTGGGAGAGAAAGAGAAAGAAAGAAAGGTAGAGAAGGAAGGAAGGAGAGAAGGAAGGAAAGAAAGAAGGGTAGAGAAGGAAGGAAGGAGAGAATAGGGAAAAAAGGAGGGAAGGAGAGAAAGAAGGAAAGAAGGAGGGAAGGAGAGAAAGAAGGGTAGAGAAGGAAGGAGAGAAAGTGGGAAAGAAGGAGAGAAAGAAGGAAAGAAAGAAAGGTAGAGAAGGAAGGAAGGAAGGAGAGAAAGAGGGAAGGAGAGAAGGAAGGAAAGAAGGAGGGAAGGAGAGAAAGAAAGGTAGAGAAGGAAGGAAGGAGAGAAGGAATGGTTCTTTTGTTTTTAAGGTAGTCATAACGCACAGAACATTTTTATATATATAGATAGTATCATTGTATTATATTATTATTATATAATATAATTATAATATATTACCCTAAGTCGCGCGATTTTTTTCCCTTAGTTATAAATGTCATTTCCTAATTGGGTCTCTCCTAAAAACATCGAAAAGTTATGTCTTCCTGCCTGGCAGGGAAAAAAAAGGTTGGACTGGATGGCCTTTAGAGGTCCCTTCCTGACTCGGACTCTATGTTCCTGCCTTTGGAGGCAATGCACACGGTTTCCCTTCTGGTCATTGCTCTTGTTTGCTTCTCGTTCCCTCGGCATGAACTGACCTTGAGGGAGAACATGCTTGCATCCCGTTTTGTCATTAGTCGTGAATCAATGGGCCACGTGTTTGGTTCGAGGGGTTGCTTTGGCTGCCCAACAAGGGCACAAACACAACACGTGACAACACACAACAGGGGTGGGGGGGGGATCTCCATTTGCCAGCTTTAGAGCTTGAAAGTTGAGACACCCATCGAATCCTAGAGTTGGAAAGGACCCCCAAAGCCCATCCAGTCCAACCCCATTCTGCCTTCATGCAGGAAAAGCACCTTCAAAGCCCTCCTGACAGATGGCCATGCCTGACCAAAGTGAAATAGAGTGGGGCGATAGCTTGGAATCATAGCATAATTGAGGCCACATGGACCATCCAGTCCAACCCCTTTCTGTGAAAGCACAATCAAAGCACTCCCTGACAGACGGCCACCCAGTTTCTGATTCCTTGTCTATTCTCAATGAGGACTTCCCTCTTGTTGATACCAACAACATATAATGGCAAGGCTTGTCAGTCCCTATTAAAAATCATAGAACCTAGTTAGAAGGGACCTCTTAAAGGCCATCTAGTCCAACCCTCTTTTGCCTTCATGCAGGAAAAACACAATCAAAGCCCTCCTGACAGATGGCTATCAAGCCTCTGTATCAACATCTCCATGGGGGTGTCGATACAAGCCGTTTTGTGTCTCCTTCGTATAAATAAGTAAATACAACAACAGCAATAATAATAATAATAATAATAATAATAATAATAATAATAATAATAGAATGGGCTGTTGTGAGTTTTTTGGGCTGTGTGGCCATATTTCAATAATAATGATGATGATGATGATGATGATGATGATGATGATAATAATGGAATGGACTGTTGTGAGTTTTTTGGACTGTGTGGGCATATTTCAATAATAATAATAATAATAATAATAATAATAATAATAATAATAATGGAATGGACTGTTATGAGTTTTTTGGGCTGTGTGGCCATTTTTCAATAATAATAATAATAATAATAATAATAATGATAATGATAGAATGGGCTGTTATGAGTTTTTTGGGCTGTGTGGACATTTTTCAATAATAATAATAATAATAATAATAATAATAATGAAATGGACTGTTATGAGTTTTTTGGGCTGTGTGGCCATTTTTCAATAATAATAATAATAATAATAATAATAATAATAATAATAATAATGGAATGGACTGTTATGAGTTTTTTGGGCTGTGTGGCCATTTTTCAATAATAATAATAATAATAATAATAATAATAATAATAATAATAATAATGGAATGGGCTGTTGTGAGTTTTTTGGGTTGTGTGGCCATTTTTCAATAATAATAATAATAATAATAATAATAGAATGGGCTGTTGTGAGTTTTTTGGGCTGTGTGGCCATATTTCAATAATAATAATAATAATAATGTTGTCTATTTTATTTTATTGTAACTTGTATTGTATTTTTTTGTAATTTGTTGTTTGGGCTTGGCCTCATGTAAGCCGCCCCGAGTCCCCGTTGGGGGACATAGTGGCGGGGTACAAATAAAGTTGTTTATTATTATTATTATTATTATTGTCTGTTTGAAGCAAGTGTGAATGTTGCTATTGGCAAACTTGAATTAGCATTTGAGTAGCCTTGCAGCTGCAAAGCTGGTTTTCGGAAACAGAATGTCGACTTCTTCTGCAACGGCTTCAGAAAACTTGTCCATCGTTGGCAGAAACGTATCCAGTTGTCTGGTGATTATATGGAAAAGTGAGTAGTGGTTGAGAGAACCGTGAGACGCTGGTTGCGGAAACAGAGTGTCAACTTCTTCTGCGACGGCTTCAGAAAACTTGTTCATCATTGGTAGAAACGTATCCAGTTGTCTGGTGATTACGTGGAAAAATGAATAGTGGTTGAGATAACTGTGACACACTGGTTGCGGAAAGTGTCGATTTCTTCCGTGATGGCTTCAGAAAACTTGTTCATCGTTGGCAGAAATGTATCCAATTGTCTGGGGCTTATGTGGAAAAGTGAATATAGTTAAAAAGCACATTCTAAGGATTATTTCTGTGTTTGATTTATTAAAATAGTCCCATCCAAATCCAAGTAATGAAGGTGGAGGCATTACTTTTCATTCAACCCTCAACTATACACTCCACTTGCCTCACTCCCAACAGACCTTTGAACAAACCTCTGAGGATGCTTGCCATAGAGGCAGGCAAAACGTCAGGAGAGAATGCTGCTGCAACATGGCCACATAGCTTGGAAAACTCACAGCAACCCGGTGATTCTAGCCATGAAAGCCTTTGTCAACAGATAATAATAGGAGTTTGTAGTTTTGCATGGTCTTCCTACCAAAGGGTTGCATATCGAATTACATTATTGAATTTCTGCCATTCCAACATCACTTTCAATGCTACAGAACCCCTTTGACAGAGAAGGCTGCAGACCTTGTAAAACTACAGTTTTCGTGGCTGTTAACATGATTTCTGCAGTATGGATGCACTTATCTGTCATGGTTGTTTGACTCAAGGGAGTCCAGTAGGAGGGCCTGACAGCTTGCATGCACTGTGCCTCTTTCCTGCAGAATCCCAGCAGAAGGAAGTGGGGGAGATGCTGGCGCAAGAAGGCCTGCCCCACGCCTCCCTCGGCAGCAGCCCCAGTGAACAGGTGGCCTACCTATTGGTGGAGCGCAGCCGCCTTCTGGAGACCATGGAGGCCCTGGAGCCAAGGGTGGGCTTCAATGCCGCTTTGGGGAACCTCTGCACCGCTCGGCTTCAGGTATCGTCAGGCCCTCCCCAAGTTACAGACGAGAAAGGTTTGGTCTTAAGTCGAATTTGTATGCAAGTCAGAATTGCATAGGGAAGGGTGCTTGTTTTGCTGTCTGTGCCCCTGTTCACCTCACTTTCTGGATATTGAAAATGTGGTTTGTTGTGGAGACAATGCTTTGTCTGAACTAAAGATTCTGTACTTGGCACTTTTATCCCCTAATCTGCTCATTGTCCCAAGCGGCCAGGAACGGGTTTAGTTTCAGCCTTGGCTCTGTTATCAATCTTTCTCTCAGCCTGGGAGAACGCCTGAGAGTTTGGATTGTTTGCCTGTACTGATTACAAACATAAGCAGGAACAAATAATCCAGGAAATTAGTCCATCAGAGTTCATGAAAAACAAATACAGAAATTTCCAAGGTAATAGCCCAAAACTTGAATCATGAATCCAAAAAAAGGCACTTAACACATGAATCTATCCAAGGCAAGGCTTCCAAGGACTAGGAAAGATGTCTTAACTCAATTTTCAACAATGCTTCATCTGAACTGAAGATTCTGTACTTGGCACTTTTATCTCCTAATCTGCTCATTGTCCCAAGTGGCCAGGAACGGGTTTCGTTTCAGCCTTGACTCTGTTATCAATCTTTCTCTCAGCCTGGCAGAACGTCTGAGAGATTGGGTTGTTTGCCTGTACTGATTACAAACATGTCCTCTGTCTGCTGGCTCATTAATTTCTGCAGCTGGGCCAGGTGCCAAGCTATTCAAGGCAAGGCTTCCAAGGACTAGGAAAGATGCCTTAACTCAATTTTCAACAATGCTTCGTCTGAACTAAAGATTCTGTACTTGGCACTTTTATCCCCTAATCTGGTCATTGTCCCAAGCGGCCAGGAACGGGTTTCGTTTCAGCCTTGACTCTGTTATCAATCTTTCTCTCAGCCTGGCAGAACGCCTGAGAGATTGGGTTGTTTGCCTGTACTGATTACAAACATATCCTTTATCTTGCAACCCAGAGCAGGAAACAAGACCCTAAGATAACCATCCACCACACTTGACTGTAGGAAAAACAATCCCTTTTTATTGATGAAAAATGGTTACAAAAAAGCCACAGTAAAAATCAGCAATCAGAAATTTCCATGAACTAGATCAAAAACCAAAAGCAACACTGTAAAGTCCTGGAACCTGTTAGCAATCCACTAACTGTACTTGGAGCACTAGAAGCCTCTTGGGATGAAGGCCACAGGAAACGGGAGATCTGCCAAGGTAATGCCTCAGTCTAAAACAATGCCTGATCTAAAGAGTCAACCCGGCGAGAGGCACTTAAAGCTGAGGAAACTGTTTCGTGACACGCCTCCAGGCTTTGAAGCCCTTGTTTCTTTTTCTTTTAATCTGCTTGACCTTCGCAGATTCTGCGATTCACTCCTGTTTTTCCAAATCTGTCCTCTTCTATCCTCATTAAGGATCCCAGGTCTTAGCTTCTCTGGAGAGTTATCACCGCTTGACCCTGAAACATTCTCAGGAGAATATGTACTTTCACTTTCCAATCCTTCCAAGCCTGCAGGAGTTTCTTCTACACTGACCTCAGAATCAACATTTTCATCAGCATCAGGAAATACATTTTCATTAGAATCAGGAAATACATTTTCAGTAGCATCAGGAAATACAATCAGAGAATCAGGTTCAGGTTCACACCCAGGCTGAACCCCAACACTATCTACTGGCTCATTAATTTCTGCAGCTGGGCCAGGTGCCAAGCTATTCAAGGCAAGGCTTCCAAGGACTAGGAAAGATGTCTTAACTCAATTTTCAACAATGCTTCGTCTGTACTAAAGATTCTGTACTTGGCAACTTTTATCCCCTAATCTGCTCATTGTCCCAAGTGGCCAGGAACGGGTTTTGTTTCAGCCTTGACTCTGTTATCAATATTTCTCTCAGCCTGGCAGAACGCCTGAGAGATTGGGTTGTTTGCCTGTACTGATTACAAACATATCCTTTATGTTGCAACCCAGAGCAGGAAACGAGACCCTAAGATAATCATTCACCACACTTGACTGTGGGAAAAACAATCCCTTTTTATTGATGAAAAATGGTTACAAAATAGAGGAAAATGCAAAGTCAAAAAGCCACAGTAAAAATCAGCAATCAGAAATTTCCATGAACTAGATCAAAAACCAAAAGCAACACTGTAAAATCCTGGAACCTGTTAGCAATCCACTAACTGTACTTGGAGCACTAGAAGCCTCTTGGGATGAAGGCCGCGGGAAACGGGAGATCTGCCAAGGTAATGCCAAAGTCTAAAACGATGCCTGATCTAAAGAGTCAACCCAGCGAGAGGCACTTAAAGCTGAGGAAACTGTTTCGTGACATGCCTCCAGGCTTTGAAGCCCTTGTTTCTTTTTCTTTTAATCTGCTTGACCTTCGCAGATTCTGCTATTCACTCCTGTTTTTCCAAATCTGTCCTCTTCTAGCCTCATTAAGGATCCCAGGTGTTAGCTTCTCTGGAGAGCTGTCACCACCTGACCCTGAAACATTCTCAGGAGAATATGTACTTTCACTTTCCAATCCTTCCAAGCCTGCAGGAGTTTCTTCTACACTGACCTCAGAATCAACATTTTCATTAGCATCAGGAAATACATTTTCATTAGAATCAGGAAATACATTTTCAGTAGCATCAGGAAATACAATCAGAGAATCAGGTTCAGGTTCACACCCAGGCTGAACCCCAACACTTTATCTACTGGCTCATTAATTTCTGCAGCTGGGCCAGGTCCCGAGCTATTCAAGGCAAGGCTTCCAAGGACTAGGAAAGATGTCTTAACTCAATTTTCAGCAATGCTTTGTCTGAACTAAAGATTCTGTACTTAGCACTTTTATCCCCTAATTGTCCCAAGCGGCCAGGAACGGGTTTCGTTTCAGCCTTGACTCTGTTATCAATCTTTCTCTCAGCCTGGCAGAATGCCTGAGAAATTGGGTTGTTTGCCTGTACTGATTACAAACATGTCCTCTATCTACTGGCTCATTAATTTCTGCAGCTGGGTCAGGTCCTGAGCTATTCAAGGCAAGGCTTCCAAGGACTAGGAAAGATGTCTTAACTCAATTTTCAACAATGCTTCATTTGAACTAAAGATTCTGTGCTTGGCACTTTTATCCCCTAATCTGCTCATTGTCCCAAGCGGCCAGGAACGGGTTTCGTTTCAGCCTTGACTCTGTTATCAATCTTTCTCTCAGCCAGGCAGAATGCCCAAGAGATTGGGTTGTTTGCCTGTACTGATTACAAACATGTCATCTATCTACTGGCTTATTAATTTCTGCAGCTTGTCCAGGTGCCGATCTGTTATAGAATCATAGAATCCTAGAGTTGGAAGAGACCTCGTGGGCCATCCAGTCCAACCCCATTCTGCCAAGAAGCAGGAAAATTGCATTCAAAGCACCCCCAACAGATGGCCATCCAGCCTCTGTTTAAAAGCCTTCAAAGAAGGAGTCTCCGCCACACTCCGAGGCAGGGAGTTCCACGGCTGAACGGCTCTCACAGCCAGAAAGTTCTTCCTAATGTTCAGGTGGAATCTCCTTTCTTGTAGTTTGAAGCCATTAGATAGAAAGATCAGCAGGAACAGATAATCCAGGAAATTAGTGTATCAGAGTTCATGAAAAACAAATACAGAAACTTCCAAGGTAATAGTCCAAAACTTGAATCATGAATCCAAAAAAGGTACTTAACACATGAATCTATCCAAGGCAAGGCTTCCAAGGACTAGGAAAGATGTCTTAACTCAATGTTCAACAATGCTTCATCTGAACTAAAGATTCTGTACTTGGCAACTTTTATCCCCTAATCTGCTCATTGTCCCAAGTGGCCAGGAACGGGTTTCGTTTCAGCCTTGACTCTGTAATCAATCTTTCTCTCAGCGTAGCAGAACGCCTAGAGATTGGATTGTTTGCCTGTCCTGATTACAAACATGGCCTCTATCTACTGCCTCATTAATTTCTGCCGCCTGGGCCAGGTCATGAGCTATTCAAGGCAAGGCTTCCAAGGACTAGGAAAGACGTCTTGACTCAATTTTCAACAATGATTGATGATCCTTTTCCAGGAGGAATTGGACCAAATCCGCCGGACTCTGGAAGATGAGCTCCGAGAGCAGCGGGAATCCATGCAGCGCAGCATAGAGCGGATGAATAAGGTAAAGCAACAACAGCAGCAGCAACAACAACCTTGTTCTACTCGTTTCCACATCTTCCACACAATTAGACAGGAAATCACGCTTGCAAACCAGGAACAGAAACGTTTTCAAATTTTGTGACGTCGTGTTATTGTTGTTATTTACATTAAATTATTATTATAAATAATAATTATAATATTTATATATCACTTTTTTCCTCTTATAAAACAATACTAAACTTAAAACTGTAAGCATTACATTATTATTATTATTATTATTATTATTATTATTATTATTATTGGTAATATACTTTTTTTTCTCTTAGGGTGCTTCCAGACCGCATTAAGGCCCCTTCAAGCCCTTCCACACAGCCCTATATCCCAGAATATAAAGGCACATTATCTGAGTGTGGACTCAGATCACCCAGTTCAAAGCAGATATTATGGAATTTTCGGCCTTGATATTCTGGGATATAGGGCTGTGTGGAAGGACCCTGGCACACAGCTGAATAAAATCCCACATTATCTGCTTTGACCTACAAAACAGGAGCTTTTTTGTTGAGTTCCTGGGCCAGAGAAGCAGGTGGCGGAAACAGAAGAACGGCCTGCCTCAGGGGAGCGTGCTTGCTCCATCCATGTTCAACATCTACACAAATGACCAGCCACTGCCAGAAGGGACAGAGAGTTTCATCTATGCTGATGATCGTGCCATCACTGCTCCAGCAGGGAGATTTGAGATGGTAGAACAGAAGCTTTCCGAAGCTCTAGGTGCTCTTACTGCCTATTACAGGGAAAACCAGCTGATCCCTAATCCATCTAAAACACAGACATGTGCCTTTCATCTCAAGAACAGAGAAGCATCCCGAGCTCTGAGGATTACCTGGGAAGGAATCCCACGGGAGCATTGCAGCGCACCCAAATACCTGGGAGTCACTCTGGACCGTGCTCTGACCTACAAGAAGCACTGCCTGAACATCAAGCAAAAAGTGGGTGCTAGAAACAATATCATACGAAAGCTGACTGGCACAACCTGGGGATCACAACCAGATACAGTGAAGACATCTGCCCTTGCTGCTGAGTATGCATGCCCAGTGTGGAACACATCTCACCACACTAAAACAGTGGATGTGGCTCTGAATGAGACATGCCGCATTATCACGGGGTGTCTGCGCCCTACACCACTGGAGAAATTACACTGTCTAGCCGGTATTGCACCACCTGACATCCGCCGGGAAGTAGCAGCCAATAGTGAAAGGACCAAGGCAGAGACATCTCCAGCTCATCCCTTGTTTGGGTATCAGCCAGCATGTCAATGACTTAAATCTAGAAATAGTTTTCTTAGATCTACAGAGACACTCGCTGGAACACCTCAGCAAGCGAGAGTCCAAAAGTGGCAGGCTCAAACCCAGCACCTCAATCCGTGGGTGATACCAGATGAGAGACTCCCCCCTGGGCACACAGAAGACTGGGCGACTTGGAAGGTGCTGAACAGACTGCGCTCTGGCACCACGAGATGCAGAGCCAACCTTCAGGAATGGGGCCACAAAGTTGAATCCTCGACATGCGAGTGCGGAGAAGAGCAAACCAATGACCACCTGCTGCAATGCAACCTGAGCCCTGCCACATACACCATGGAGGACCTTCGTGCGGCAACACCGGAGCTACCAAGTTTGCAAAATTTGTGGGGTTTTTTTTATCTGTTTGCTTGTTTCGTTCCGTTAGAAATGTAATACAATGTTCTGGTTGCAGATGACACGATAAATAAATATATCTGCTTTAAACGGGAATATATGGCAGTGTGGACTCCGGTCCCATCCAGACAGTACCTTTATCTCAGGAGCTTCCACAGCAAACAGGAGGGTGGCCAGGAATTTTAATAATAATATTAATATTAATAATAATAATAATAATATTGGGAGGGCGAGTGAATGATAATAATAGGGTGGGTGTTAATAATAATAATAATAATAATAGGAGGAGGAGCAAATGAGGATAATAATAATTATAATAATGGGGGAGAGAGAAAATGACAATAATAATCATAATATATCATCATCATCATTAGCTATCCCTCTTATTATTGTCATAATAATCACAATAATTGGAACGAGAGTGAATAATAATAACAATGATGATGATGATGATGATGATGATGATGATGATGGAGAGTGAATGATAATAATAGGGTGGGTGTTAATAATAATAATAATAATAATAATAATAATAATAATAATAATAATAATAATAGGAGAGAGCAAATAACAATAATTATAATATCATCATCATCATTAGCTATCCCTCTTATTATTGTCATAATAATCACAATAATTGGAATGAGAGTGAATAATAATAACAATAATGATGATGATGATGGAAGGAGAGTGAATGATAATAATAGGGTGGGTGTTAATAATAATAATAATAATAATAGCAGGAGCGAATGAGGATAATTATAATGGAGAGAGAGCAAATGACAATAATAATCATAATATATCATCATCATCATCATTAGCTATCCCTCTTATTATTGTCGTAATGATCATAATAATTGGAACGAGTGTGAATAATAATAACAATAATGATGATGATGGAGGGAGAGTGAATGATAACAATAGGGTGGGTGTTAATAACAACAACAATAATAATAATAATAATAATAATAATAATAATAATAATAGGAGGAGCGAATGAGGATAATAATAATTATAACAATGGGAGAGAGAGCAAATCACAATAATCATAATATCATCATTATTAGCTATCCCTCTTATTATTGTCGTAATGATCATAATAATTGGAACGAGAGTGAATAATAATAACAATAATGATGATGATGGAGGGAGAGTGAATGATAATAATAGGGTGGGTGTTAATAATAATAATAATAATAATAGGAGGAGCGAATGAGAATAATAATAATTATAATAATGGAAGAGAGAGCAAATTACAATAATAATCATAATTTATTATCACCATCATCATTAGCTATCCCTCTTATTATTGTCACAATAATCACAATAATTGGAACGAGAGTGAATAATAATAACAATAATGATGATGATTCAGGGGACTCAGGGCAGATCACAGTCCACGTATACATGGCAAACATGCCATGCCATTAGACATGCAACATATATAGACAGACACAGAGGCAATTTAACATTCCAGCTTTCCGGCTTCATGAGGGCATGCTGCTCCACCGTCCACTTGTGACACCGAGTCCTTGATGGAGTACTTCCTCATTCTTATGCACACTGCTGGAAGGTTTTATGGCATCGTAAATTAATTAAATTAGCCTCCCCGCATAAAGCGGTACCTAAATTTCCCACTTGACTTTTGGGCTGCATAGGTCGACAGCAAGCTAGACTCTTAAGGTCGGGAGCTCACTCCGACCCAGGCTGGCTTTGAACTCATGATCTCTCTGTCAGTAGTGATTTAATAGGGTGGGTGTTAATAATAATAATAATAATAATAATAATAATAATAGGAGGAGGAGGAGGAGGAGGCTACTAACTAGCTGCACCACATCCTGGTCAGGACAGGAAATGAAGAACAACACTGCGAAAACAGAGGAATTCCAGACAAGAAAGAATCAGGTCCAAGTAACACCTCCCAACAAAGGATTCCCCCAAGCAGGAAGCAGCCAGGCTTTGAATCCCACTGTTTTACCGAGCCACAAAATGGTGTTACATAATGTGATGTGCTTCTTTCCTTCAGTGTCACGCGGAGGAGCTGGCCAAAGAGCACACCTTGCGCACGGAGGCCGAGAAAGACCGGAAGGAGGCCCAGGGCGAGATCCTGAGGCTGACGGAGGCGCTGGAGGCACAGGCGTCAGGTGAGTTTGGCTCCAGCACATGGCACCTTACCTGCAGCTGGAATATAATATTATATTATGTATTATTATTATGTACATATAATATTTATAATATTACTAGCTTGGGGACCCGGCGCTGCCCGGGTAACTTGAGAAAGGCATTGTGCACCAAGGTTGGTCTTTATCAGTTATTTATGTGGCTCGCAGTGCTCTCAGGAAGTTAGTGAAGGTAATGCGAGTCCCATCGTCCATGGTCCATCCTCCTCCAAACAGCACCAGGATGTAGAGTGGGTCATGAGGCTCTGTGTGCCAATTTTGGTTTTGATCAGTCATTGGATGAAGGTCGCAGAGGTCTCGGGAAGTGAGTGAAGGTACTTCAAGTCCCATCATCTGTGGTCCACCCTCCTCCAAACTGCACCAGGTTGTAGAGTGGGTCATGGGGCTATGTGTGCCAAGTTTGGTCTTGATCAGTCATTGGATGAGTGTCACAGTGGTCTCGGGAAGTAAGTGGTTGTACTGCAAGCCCCATCATCCCTGGCCCACCCTCCTCCAAATAGCGGTAGGATGTAGAGTGGGTCATGGGGGCTTTGTTGGGGGTCTTTGTTGGGGGCCGCAGTAGTCTGTGGAAACAAAAGGGTGGGAAAGTACTACAAATCCCATCATCCATTGTCTGTCCTCCCCCAACCCTCACCAGGATGTAGAGTGGGTCATGGGGCTCTGTGTGCCAAGTTTGGTCTTGATCAGTCACTGGATGAGTGTCACAGCAGTTTCATGAAATAAGTGGTTGTACTGCAAGTCCCATCATCCCTGGCCCACCCTCCTCCAAATAGCAGTAGGATGTAGAGTGGGTCATGGGGGCTTTGTTGGGGGTCTTTGTTGGGGGCCGCAGTAGTCTGTGGAAACAAAAGGGTGGGAAAGTACTACAAATCCCATCATCCATTGTCTGTCCTCCCCCAACCCTCACCAGGATGTAGAGTGGGTCATGGGGCTCTGTGTGCCAAGTTTGGTCTTGATCAGTCACTGGATGAGTGTCACAGCAGTTTCATGAAATAAGCGGTTGTACTGCAAGTCCCATCATCCCTGGCCCACCCTCCTCCAAATAGCAGTAGGATGTAGAGTGGGTCATGGGGGCTCTGTGTGTCAAGTTTCGTCTTTATTGGTCTTTGTTGGGGGCCGCAGTAGTCTGTGGGAACAAAAGGGTGGGAAATTACTACAAATCCCATCATCCATTGCCCATCCTCCCCCAACCCTCCCCAGGACGTAAAGAGGCTCATGGGGGTTATGTGTGCCAAGTTTGGTCTTGATTGGTCATTGGATGAGGGTCGCAACGGTCTCGGGAAGAAAGATGGAGGGGTGGGTAGATAAGGAAGGAAGGAAGGAAGGAAGATGGATAGATAGTTAGATCCAGATAGGTAGATAGAAGAAAGAAAGATGGGGGTGGATGGATAGATAGATAGGGAAGAATGATGGATGGATGGATGGATGGATGGATGGATGGATGGATGGTTAGGAAGGAAGGAAGGAAAGAAAGAAAGAAAGAAAGAAAGAAAGAAAGAAAGAAAGAAAGAAAGAAAGAAAGAAGATAGTTAGTTTCACTTCTGCTACCTTGATAGAAATAGATAGATAGATAGAGAAGAGAGAGAGAGATAGATAGATAGATAGATAGATGATAGATAGATAGATAGATAGATAGATAGAGATAGATAGATAGATAGATAGATAGACAGATAGATAGAGAGATAGATAGATAGATAGAGAAATAGATAGAGAGATAGAGAGATAGATAGAGAGATAGAGAGATAGATGGAGAGCTAGAGAGATAGATAGAGAAATAGAGATATAGATAGAGATAGATAGATAGATAGATAGATAGATAGAGAAATAGATAGATAGAGAAATAGATAGATAGATAGATAGATAGATAGATAGATAGAGATAGATAGATAGATGATAGATAGATAGACAGATAGAGAAATAGATAGAGAAATAGATAGATAGATAGATAGATAGATAGATAGATAGATAGATAGATAGATAGAGAAATAGAGAAATAGATAGATAGAGAGATAGAGAAATAGAGAAATAGATAGATAGATAGATAGATAGATAGATAGATAGATAGATAGATAGATAGATAGACAGACAGAGGCCTGTCCTCGGCCACGTATTTCTCCCGCCAGACAAAGCGGCCACTGCGTTCCTCCTCTGGGTGACCCTTGGGTGCATTGAACCAGAGGGAAATGCGACGGCAGCTTTGCCGGTCCGGCATCTGGGCATTGCTTTGTGTCGCCATGGCCTTGGCGGCACCGTCCTCTGGGCTGCGTCCGCTCCGAACTAAGGCCGGTCGGGTTCTTCTCAGGTAAGTCCTCATAGGTTCTTAGTGTTGGTGTGACCAGCATTTCCCTTTGTCTGAATGGACTGAGACTTTGGGACGGCGTGGCCTCTGAATTATTTGAAGGTGTGCCACAGAACTTTCCAAACTTTCCATGTTGGCGACACACTTTTGAGGGTGTCAGGTACCCCAATCCCAGTTTAGTTTCCCAGACATATATATTCTATTATTATTATTATTATTATTATTATTATTATTATTATTATTACTACTACTACTACTAGCCTTCCCCTGCCATGCGTTGCTGTGGCCCAGGCTGTGTATATGTGTTTTGTGTGTGTGTATATATTTGTGTATATGTGTATATATGTGTGCTGTATGTATGTGTGCATGTATAAATGTATATTTCTGTGTTTAAATGTGTATATTGGCTATATGTGTGCTTGTGTATGTGCATATGTATGTGTTTATATGTGTGTATGCATGTGTTTATGTATATGTGTGTAGATGTATATATGTGTATATTTGTGTGTGCTTGTGTATATATGTGTGTGTGACTGTATGTATGTGTGCTTGTGTATATGTGTATATGTAGATATGGTTCATTTTGGGGGGATTTTAAGTCCGTTCTGCTGGGGTTTTGTGTGTTTTTAGGGGTGATGGTCATTCGTTGGCCTGATAGGTGTATTCTGTCCAAATTTGGTGTCAATTCACCTAATGGTTTTTGAGTTATGTTAGTCCCACAAATGAACATTACATTTTTATTTATATAGATTATTATTATTTATTATTATTATTATTATTATTATTATTATTATTATTATTATTATTATTATGCCTCATTCCATGACACGGTCATTCCGTTTTCCTTCCAAAAACCCTTGGGAACGTTTCATACAATGTATATTATAATAATAATAATAATAATAATAATAATAATAATAATAATATTTAAGACACAAGTGAAGACCTGTCTCTTCCGACAGGTCTAGCCAGACAGTTTTGATGACGAATTTTAAACATCCATTCTATGTCTTAATTTGGTGTTTTAAAATGATTATGTGTTTTAGTAATGTTGTAACCCATCTCGAGCTGTGAGGAGATGCGGATAATACATAAAATTATTATTTATAATCATCAAAAATAATAATAACCAGTAATATACACCAGGGAAACTAGACTGGGATTGAGATACCTTACACCCTGATGCAGAATAATAATAATAATAATAATAATAATAATAATAATAATAATAATAGAATATATATGTCTGGGAAACTAAACTGGGATTGGAGTACCTGACACCCTGATGCTGAATAATAATAATAATAATAATAATAATAATAATAATAACAATAACAATAACAATAACAACAATAATAATAATAGAATAATAATGGAATATATGTCTTGGAAACTAACCTGGGATTGGGGTACCTGACACCCTGTTGCTGAATAATAATAATAATAATAATAATAATAATAATAATAATAATAACAATAACAACAACAACAACAACAATAATAATAATAATAATAATAATAATAATAATAATAGAATAATAATGGAATATATGTCTGGGAAACTAACCTGGGATTGGGGTACCTGACACCCTGGATGCTGAATAATAATAATAATAATAATAATAATAATAATAATAATAATAATATAAAATAATACATCTGAAGATTTTGGATTAAAGATCGAATTTTAATCTCTTCTTTGCAAGTAAGCTGTGAGGAGAGATGGGTAAGAAATAAAAATTATTTATTATTATTATTCGAAACACAACAAGATGAGTGCACAGCAAACAAGGTCACTCTGCTGGCTGTTGAATTGGATCCCTTCCCAAGTGTCTAGGACTGTGTGATGTATCGGCGAATAATGCGTGCAGATCCCAGTAAGGTGGCCTTTTGCAGCTGACAGGTGGTGATTTGGTCAGTGCCGATTGTGTTTAAGTGCAGGCCAAGGTCTTTAGGCACTGCACCCAGTGTGCCGATCACCACTGGCTTGTGCCAGAGTCTTTGCAGTTCAGTCTTTAAATCCTCATATTGTGTCAGCTTTTCCAGTTGTTTCTCTTCAAATTATTATTATTATTATTATTATTATTATTATTATTATTATTACTGAACCACTGTGTCATCAAGTGATGCACATCTAATAAATGCGTCACCAGCACGAAATTTTTGGTTAGTTCTGCTCTCCATGATGATAATTGGTGCTGGTGGTGGTAGCCGGCTCTTTCTTTGGAGGCTTTTAAACAGAGGCTAGATGGCCATCTGTCAGGGGTGCTTTGAATGTGATTTTCATGTTTCTTGGTAGGGGGTTGGACTGGATCGCCCATGAGGTCTCTTCCAACTCTAGGATTCTGTGATGATGATGATGATGATGATGATGATGATGATGTTTTTCTCATTTCTTACCCACACCTCCTTCCGACCCAACCTCCTGTCGGGGGGGGGGGGGGGGGGGGTCGACCATCAGAAAACACAGTATTTTCTGTTGGTCATGGGGATTCTGTATGCCAAGTTGGTTCAATTCCATCGCTGCTGGAGTTTAGAATTCTCTGATTGTAGGTGAACTATAAATCCCAGCAACTACAACCTCCAAATTTCAAGGTCTATTTTCCCCAAACTCCATCAGTGTTGACATTTGAGCATATTAAGTATTTGTGCCAAGTTTGGTTCAGATCCATCATTGTTTGAGTCCACAGTACTCTCTGGATGTAAGTGAACTACAACTCCCAAACTCAAGGTTAATGCCCACCAAGCTGCCTTGGTCGTGGGAGTTCTGTGTGCTAAGTTTGGTTCAGTTCCATCTTTGGTGGAATTCACAATGCTCTTTGATTATAGGAGAACATAAATCCTGGCAACTACAACTCCCAAATGACAAAATCACACACACACCCCCAACCCTACCAGTATTCAAATTTGGGCATATCAGGTATTTATGCCCTATTTGGTCCAGTGAATGAAAATACATCCTACATATCAGATATTTACATGACGATTCATAACCGTTCATAGAATCATAGAGCTGGAAGAGACCTCATGGGCCATCCAGTCCAACCCCCTGCCAAGAAGCAGGAATATTGAATGTCCCTGGCAAGCCTGAGCTCATTTTGTGCTTTAGCCTTGCGGACCTTTTCCCTACAGGAGTTGGCTATTTGTTTGAATTCTTCTTTGGTGATTTCTCCCTTTTTCCACTTCTTGTGCATGTCTCTTTTGTGTCTTAGCACAGTTAGAAGTTCTTTGGACATCCATTCTGGCTTCTTTGCACTTGTCCTATTTTTTCTCTTTGTTAGCACTGTTTGCAATTGCACCTTGAGTATTTCACTCATATCTATGGAAGTAGCAACAAAAGTAATGTTATGGTTAGGGGTCACCACAACATAAGGAACTGTATTAAGGGGTCACGACATCAGGAAGGTTGAGGAACACTGACCTAGTCCAAATGCATCCATAAAAGATGACTTCTGGACCTCCCTTTAGGAAATCCTGAGCGCAGTATCCAGCTGGACCAGGATCTCGGCTTTCCTTTCCTGCCTGGATACCTGGATCAGGTAAGGGAACCAATAAGGTTTGGATTTGTTCTGATTTGGGTGGTTTAGTTTGAAGACGCATTGCAAATAAAGAGATTCAGATAAGTGAGAGGAATGTCAACAAGTCTGTATATATTATCTTGGCTCCCAGAATTCCCAAGTATCTCTGTTGCAGGACGAGGAAGGGATGCTCGATTCAGAAGAAGAAGTGGCCACAAATCCTGAAAATGCCCAGGCCCTTCATAAAAGGTGAGCGGCTTAACGTTCATGGCACTAAAAGCTGTCCATAGATTCATATTTATTTACTAGCTTGGGAACCCAGCAGTGCCTGGGTTATTTGAGAAATGAATTGGTTAGTCTTTATCAGTTATTTATGGGGCTTGCAGTGGTCTCAGGAACTGCGAGTTCCATCGTCCATGGTTCATCCTCCTCCAAACAGCACCAGAATGTAGAGTGGGTCATGGGGGCTCTGTGTGGCAAGTTTGGTCTTGATCGGTCATTGGATGAGGTCGCAGTGGTCTCAAAGTGAGTGAAGGTACTGCAAGTCCCATCATCCGTGGTCCATCCCCCTCCAAACTGCACCAGGATGTAGAGTGGGTCATTGCCAAGTTTGGTCTTGATTGGTCATTGGATGAGGGTCGCAGTTGTCTCGGGAAGTGAGTGGAAGTACTGCAAATCCCATCATCTGTGGTCTGCCCTCCTCCAAACTGCACCAGGATGTAGAGTGGGTCATGGGGGCTCTGTGTGCCAAGTTTGGTCTTGATCAGTTATTGGATGAGGGTCGCAGCGGTCTTGGGAAGTGAGTGGAGGTATGTCAAGTCCCATCATCCATAGTCCATCCTCTTCCAAACTGCACCAGGTTGTAGAGTGGGTCATGGGGGTTCTGTGTGCCAAGTTTGGTCTTTATCGGTCTTTGTTGGGGGCTGCAGTGGCCTGTGGGAACAGGAGGGTTATGTGTGCCAAGTTTGGTCCAAATCTATCACCCATGCTGGTTACAGTGGTCAGTGGTCAGAAAGCTGCCACATACACCTCCGCATACAAACATACATACATACAAACATACAAACATTCACTATATATTATAGATATAGATTTATGACATTTCTATGCCGCCCTTCTCACCCCGAAGGGGACTCAGAGCAACTTAATTAATATAATAATTAATACATATCCCACTGTACAATATCCCATTGGATGGATGGATGGATAGATATGAAGATGGATCGCTGGATGGATGAATGGGTGGATAGATGTAGATGGATGGGTGGATGGATGGAGAGAGAGAGAGAGATGGAAGATGGATGGATGGATATGAAGGTAGATGGAGTGAGAGATGGAAGATGGATAGATATGGATGGATGGATGGATGGATGGATGGATGGATGGATGGATGGATGGATGGATGGCTGGGTGGATGGATGGATGGATGGATGGATGGATGGATGGATGGATAGAGAGCGAGAGAGATGGAAGATGGATATGAAGGTAGATGGATGGATGGATAGATGGGTGGGTGGGTGGGTTGATGGATAGATGGGTGGATGGCTGGATAGTTGGATGGATGGATGGATAGCTATGAAGATAGATGGGTGGATAGATTGATGGAGAGAGAGATGGAAGATGGATGGATATGAAGGTAGATGGATGGATGGATAGATGGGTTGTTGGATGGATGGATGGATGGATGGATGAATGGATGGATAGATAGATAGGAAGATGGATGGATGGATGGTGAGAGAGAGAGAGATGGAAGATGGATGGATGGATATGAAAGTGGAGAGAGAGAGATGGAAGATGGATAGATATGGATAGATGGGTGGATGGATAGAGAGAAAGATGGAAGATGGATGGATATGAAGGTAGATGGATAGATGGGTGGGTGGGTGGGTTAATGGATGGATGGATAGATAGATATGAAGATGGATGGGTGGATGGATGGATGGGTGGATGGATGGATGGGTGGATGGATGGATGGATAGCTATGAAGATGGATGGGTGGATAGATGGATGGGTGGGTGGATGGATAGAGAGAGAGAGATGGAAGATGGATGGATGGATATGAAGGTAGGTGGATGGATGGATGGATGGATGGGTTAATGGATGGATGGATAGATAGATATGAAGATGGATGGATGGATGGATGAATGGATGGATGGGTGGATGGATGGATGGATGGATGGATGGATGGATGGATAGAGAGATGGAAGATGGATGGATGGATTTATATGAAGGTAGATGGATGGATGGATAGGTGGATGAGTGGACGGACGGACGGATAGATAGATAGATAGATAGATAGCCTCCTAGAATTGGAAGAGACTTTAAGGACCATCCAGTCCCAGTCTTAAGAAGATGGATGGATGGATAGATAGACAGATATTTGGACGTTTTACTTATATAGATAGATTGGGGTGGAAAATAGTAATGTGGGTGTGGGTTTAGGCTGGTTCTTGGCCTGTGTTCCTCTGGTCCCATGCTGTTGGGCAACCTCCAACTTCCAGAAACCCCTCTTATGGTTAGGAATACTGGGAGCTGAAGGCCCTTTGTGGGCCACTAGTGGTCAAGGGTCTGCTGTGGAGCCTTTCCTCCAAGTTGACCCTTCCTCTGCCCCCCCCTCTTTGTCCGCAGGTGCCGCCAAGCCCTGGAAGGGGTGGAGGGCCAGAACCTGCAGCTGCGGCACAAGCTCTCAAAGCTGGAGAAGGAGCACGAGGAGCTGGTGGAGCGGAACGAGGAGCTGGAGTCCCTGCTGGGGGAGACCCAGAACCAGACCCGAGAGGAGCGCCAGCAGGTCGAGTGCCAGGTGGACGGCCTGCACAGGAAGGTAGCCGCCCAAGACCATAGGACTCCCTGGACCAAATATTATTATTGTTGTTGTTGTTGTTGTTGTTGTTGTTGTTGTAATCCAGTATATATATCTCGTTTGCTGTGACATACCATGTTTTTGTGTCAGTAAAGTAATAATAATAATAATAATAATAATAATAATAATAATAATAATAATAATACAGGCTGTCCCGAAATTACAAACAAGCTCGGTTTTGCAGCTTTGTTCTTAAGTTGAATCTGTATGTAAGTTGGAACAGGGACATTTTTGAAGTGTAACAGCCCTGTGCCCCTGTTCAGAAGATTTGGTGAGTTTTGTGCCACAGACTAAAATACTTATTTCTGCTTTCCATTTTTTGTAAGAAGAGCCACAGACTCTCTCTCTTTCTCTCTCTCTTGTTCAAGATCTCTCATTTAGAGGCAGAGTTGTGCCAAGTCCAGAAGGCAAAGTTGGAAGAGAGCCTTCGAGAAGCGACGAAAGAAGAGGCAAGGGGCTGGGATGGCAGCGGGGCGGGGGCCTCCCCATGGGCCTCTCTTCCTTCCTCTTGGCCCCTTCCCCACAGCTGACTGTCCCTCATTTTAGGTGGACCTTCTGGAAAACAAACTTTTGGAGGAGAGGGAATGGAGGAAGCAGCTGAGTGGAGATCTGGAAGCCACACAGAAAGCCCTGAAGGAGGAGAAAAAGGTGCCCCATCCCTCAAGATCGGTTGCATTCTCCTAATAATAAATGTAATAATAATAATAGAGTATAATAATGTAAATGTAATAATAAGAGTAAAATAATGTAAGTGTAATAATAATAAATGGAGTAAAATAATAAATGTAATAATAATAAGAGTATAAGAATGTAATAATAGAGTAAAACAATAAATGTAATAATAATAATAATAAATGGAGTAAAATAATAAATATAATAATAATAGAGTAAAACAGTAAATGTAATAATAATAAATGGAGTAAAATAATAAATGTAATAATAATAATAATAATAATAATGTAAATGTAATAATAAGAGTAAAATAATGTAAGTGTAATAATAATAAATGGAGTAAAATAATAAATGTAATAATAATAAGAGTATAAGAATGTAATAATAGAGTAAAACAATAAATGTAATAATAATAATAATAAATGGAGTAAAATAATAAATGTAATAATAATAATAAATGGAGTATAATAATGTAAATGTAATAATAAGAGTAAAATAATGTATGGTACTAATGAATAATAAAAAGGTAAAATAAGAATAAGAATAAATAATACTAATATGAATTAACACTTTTCCTATTCTAAAACATTATATTATAATAAGAAGATACTACATAAAAAGTAGAAATTATCATCATCTTCTTCTCCTTCAGCTTCTATGCCTTCTCCTCCTCCTCTTCCACCTTCTCTTCCTCCTCCGCCTCCTCCTCCTCCTCCTTCTCCTTCTCCTCCTCCTCCACCTCCTCCTCCTCCTCTGCCTTCTCCTCCTCCTCTTCCACCTTCTCTTCCTCCTCCGACTTCTCCTCCTCCACCTTCTCCTCCTCCTCGTCCTCCTTCTTCTAAGGGGAACTTCCTTAGCCTATAGTGTTATTGTTGTTGTTGTTGTTGGGGGAACTTTTCCAACCTATAGTCCTGATTATGATGATGATGATTTATTATAATGGGAACTTCCCATACTATAGCTGTTTATTATTATTATTATTATTATTATTATTATTATTATTATTGGAACTTTCCCAGCCTATACCTGTTATTATCAGTTCCAGGGTTTCTTGGATGAAACTGATTATCTTGTTCCATCGCAGTCTGGTTTTAGGCCTGGTTACGGTATGGAGATGGCTTTGGTTGCCTTGGTGGATGACCTCTGCAGAGAGCGAGGGAGGGGGAGTGTGTCCCTGCTTGGATCTCTCAGCAGTTGACCTTGGTATCCCTTCTGGGTCTGCTTTCTAGAAAGGGTCTTGGGGGCACTGCACTGCAGTGGCTCTGCTCCTACCTGGAGGATTGTCCCCAAATGGTGATGGTGGGAAACACCTGCTTGAACCCCTGGCTCTGACCTGTGGGGTCCCACAAAGTTCCATTCTCTCCCCCATGCTTTTTAATATCTACATGAAACCACTGAGTGAGGTCCTCCAGAGTTTTGGAGTTTGTACCATCTGTACGCAGATGACACTCAACTCTATTACTCTTTTCCACTGAACTCTAAGGAAGTCCCCCGGATCCTGGTCCGGGTGTCTGGCAAATGTCAAGTTCTATTTTCCCCCAAACTCCATCAAACTCCACATTTGGGCATATTAAGTATTTGTGCCAAGTTTGGTCCAGATCCATCATTGTTTGAGTCTACAGCGCTCTCTGGATGTAGGTGAACTACAACTCAAAGTCAATGCCCACCAAACTACCTTGGTCGTGGGAGTTCTGTGTGCTAAGTTTGTTTCATTTCCATCTTTGGTGGAATTCACAATGCTCTTTGATTGTAGGAGAACTATAAATCCCGGCAACTACAACTCCCAAATGACGAAATCAACCCCCCACCCCCACCCCACCAGTATTCACATTTGGGCATATCAGGTATTTGTGCCCAATTTGGTCCAGTGAATGAAAATACATCCTACATATCAGATATTTACATGACGATTCATAACAGTTCATAGAATCATAGAATCCTAGAGTTGGAAGAGACCTCATGGGCCATCCAGTCCAACTCCCTGCCAAGAAGCAGGAATATTGAATGTCCCTGGCAAGCCTGAGCTCGTTTTGTGCTTTAGCCTTGCGGACCTTTTCCCTACACGAGTTGGCTATTTGTTTGAATTCTTCTTTGGCGATTTCTCCCTTTTTCCACTTCTTGTGCATGTCTCTTTTGTGCCATGATGTATTCAATGAAGGTTAGCAAGCTTAGGCTAAATCCAGACAAGACAGAGGTCCTCCTGGTCAGTTGTGAGGCTGATCGGGGGGGTCTAGAGTGGCAAGCTGTGCTCATCAGGGTGACACTCCTCCTGAGGACACAGGTCCGCAATCTGGGGGTCCTCAGTGCTGACGATTGAAGCTCAGTTGTTGGTGCTGGCCAGGAGCATCACTGGTGGGAGAGGGAGAGGGCCTTCCTTCTCGGTGGTGGCCCCCCAGCTCTGGAACACCCTCCCCAGGGAACTTAGGCAAGCCCCCACACTGTAGCACTCTCAGAAAGCGTGGCTTTTGAAGTCAATATGGACTTTAGGAGGGTCTTCCCAGTAAGAGAAACCCCTAGGATCGCGCCAAAGAGGGCCCATGACCTTGGCGAGCCGTCAGAGAAGCCTGATTCCAGCAATTTTATTTATATTAATACTTGAAATGAGACTCTTGCCAAGACGAAGAAGTGGCACCGAGGTTTATTGTGCGATTCAGCTGAAGCAGATGCAGTTGCAGTGATCATTCACATGCAAGCATAAAGAAATACATTTGATACAGCCATGTATATAGAGTTTTCAAAGTTGCAGAGTTCAAACTTCCCGCCCCAGCCTCCCTGCCGCCCTCCACTGCGATTGGACAATGAGCAAACAGCTGGGAGGTGGCCCTCCCCCCCGGCGCCTCCGGACCAATCAGGAAGCTCCAGCGGTCTGCAGGGTCCAATGGGGAGGCTTCTGCCATCTAGCGGCGATAGCAAATCAGAAAAGAGGGAGGCGGGATGAAAGGACACAAAGGAATCTATGAATGAATGTGAAAAAAATAATGCCATGTGGCTGGCGAGACAAAGGGGAAATCTCAAGCCAGCCTGATCTATTGTGCTTTGGAATGGATCAACATGTGTAGACTGGGCTGATTGTTTCTTGGTGGAGATAGCTGAGTTAATCAGCTGAGTTAATCAGAGCGCAGTCTGGTACCTTTGTCCTTTGTCCTTTGCAGAACTATAAGTCACCATCCCTTGTTGGGGGGGGGGGCATGCTCAACGTCACTTTTCCCAGCAGGCCTTTGATAACGTTTAAGGCAGTAGCTAGAGTGATCGCCGGTCACTTCAGCACTTTCCGCTGGGACTCCCAATCGATTGTATGGATGTTTTGATCAATGGCTATAGCCACGTTTTACTGATTCTATTGAATAGAGGTTGCTTTTGCTAATTTTATATGCCTAGTTTTATGTAAATATGTTAATTGATTTTATATGTTGACGTATGGCATTTTAAGTGTTGTAGGGCACCATCGTGTGCTATTTTGTAAGCCGCCTCAAGTCCTTATGGGAGATGGTGGCTGGATAGACATCAAGTTTTATCTCCTCCTCCTCCTCCTTCTTTGGGGAACTTTCCCAACCTATATCCCTGTTGTTGTTGTTGTTGTTGTTGTTGTTGTGGGAATTTTCCCAACCTATATCCCTGTTGTTGTTGTTGTTGTTGTTATTGTTGTGGGAATTTTCCCAACCTATATCCCTGTTGTTGTTGTTGTTGTTGTTGTTGTTGTTATTGTTGTGGGAATTTTCCCAACCTATATCCCTGTTGTTGTTGTTGTTATTGTTATTGTTGTGGAAATTTTCCCAACCTGTATCCCTGTTGTTGTTGTTGTTGTTGTTGTGGGGATTTTCCCAACCTATATCCCTGTTGTTGTTGTTATTGTTATTGTTGTGGGAACTTTCCCAACCTATATCCCTGTTGTTGTTGTTATTGTTGTGGGAACTTTCCCAACCTATATCCCTGTTGTTGTGGGAACTTTCTCAACTTATAACCCTGTTGTTGTTGTTGTTGTTGTTGTGTGAACTTTCCCAACCTATATCCCTGTTGTTGTTGTTATTGTTATTGTTGTGGGAACTTTACCAACCTATATCCCTGTTGTTGTTGTTATTGTTGTGAGAACTTTCCCAACCTATATCCCTGTTGTTGTGGGAACTTTCCCAACCTATATCCCTGTTGTTGTTTTTATTGTTATTGTTGTGGGAACTTTCCCAACCTATATCCTTGTTGTTGTTGTTGTTGTTGTTGTTGTTGTTGTTATTGTTGTGAGAACTTTCCCAACCTATATTCTTGTTGTTGTTGTTGTTGTTATGAGAACTTTCCCAACCTATATCCCTGTTGTTGTTGTTGTTGTTATAGTTGTGGGAACTTTCCCAACCTATATCCCTGTTGTTGTGGGAACTTTCTCAACTTATATCCCTGTTGTTGTTGTGTGAACTTTCCCAACCTATATCCCTGTTGTTGTTGTTGTTGTTGTTGTTGTTATTGTTGTGGGAACTTTACCAACCTATATCCCTGTTGTTATTGTTTTGGGAATTTTCCCAACCTATATCCCTGTTGTTGTTGTTTTTGTTGTGGGAAATTTCCCAATCTATAGCCCTGTTGTTGTTGTTGTTGTTGTTGTTGTTGTGGGAACTTTCCCAACCTATATCCCTGTTGTTGTTGTTGTTGTTGTTGCTGATGCTGTTATTGTTATTGTTGTGGGTACTTTCTCAACATATATCCCTATTGTTGTTGTTATTGTTATTGTTGTGGGAACTTTCCCAACCTATATCCCTGTTGTTGTTGTTGTTGTTATTGTTGTGGGAACTTTCCCAACCTATATTCCTGTTGTTGTTTTTATTGTTATTGTTGTGGGAACTTTCCCAACCTATATGGTTGGGAAAGTTCCCAACCAATAACAACCTATTGTTATTGTTGTGGGAACTTTTCCCAACCTATGTTGTTGTTGATTGTTGTTTTAAATATTTATGTTTTAATGGGTTGTTTTAACTTTGTATTGTACGTTTTTGGTCTGTTGCAACCACCTTGTGTCTGTGCTCAGAGAAAGGCGAGATATAAATTTCTCAAATGAATACCTTTTTCAAATAAATAAAATTTGTGGGTCCATTGAACTTCCAGGAGCTGCAGAATTCAAAGTCAGAGCTCCTGCGGCTTTACAGTGAGATCCAGGCGCTTCGGGGCGCGGCAGAAGAGAGGGATTTCCTACGCGAGAAGATGCAGCAGGAAAACGCACCGCTCCAAACAAAGGTGAGCTTCCCAGGAAACGGAGCATTGCAACGACACCCCAAATGGGCCCGTTTGGGAGTGTTGTCCTTGGGGTGCTTTCAGTGACCGTTTGGGCTCTCTCAGGGTCCGCCGCCGACCGAGAAGCTCCTTCGGCAGCAAGAGGAGCTGCAGCAGCTGCGGCGGGACCTCCAGCGGGTCCAGAACCTGTGCAGCTCTGCCGAGAAGGAGTTGCGCTATGAACGGGAGAAGAACCTGGAGCTGCAGAAGCACAACATCCTGCTCCAACAGGAGAGCGTCACGGTACGGTGATTACATTTTATATCCTTTCTAAGCTTTGTTCTTTCAAACCAAACTATTGCCTGGCTCTCTGCAGCTATTTTTGCACCGCAAATGCCTTGTAAAACCCACTGTTTAGTAAACTCACAAATTTTTAATCCAAAAGGCAAACTTGTATTTCACGGTTGCAATATATACAAATATACAGTCAGGATGTGCAGATCTACTTTCCTTGTACTTTATTTTATTTATTTACTAGCTTTGGGACCCAGCGTTGCCCGGGTTATTTGAGAAAGGCATTGTGTATCAAGGTTGGTCTTTATCAGTTATTTATATGGCTCGCAGTGGTCTCAGGAAGTTAATGAAAGTACTGCGAGTCCCATCATCCGTGGTCCATCCTCCTCCAAATTGCACCAGAATGGAGAGTGGGTCGTGGGGGCTTTGTGCGCCAAGTTTTGTTCTTGATCAATCATTGGATGAGGGTCACAGTGGTCTCAGAAAGTGAGTTTAGGTACTGCAAGTCCCATCCTCCATAGTCTGTTCTCCCCCAAACCTCACCAGAATGTTGAGTTGGCCAAGGGGGCTCTCTGTGCCAAGTTTGGTCTTTCTTGGTATTTGGATAAGTGTCGCTGTGGTTTCAGGAAGTGAGTGAAGGTCCGTCCTCCTCCAAACAGCATTGGGATGTAGAGTGGGTCATGGGGGCTCTGTGTGCCAAGTTTGGTCTTGATTGGACATTAGATGAGGGTTGCAGCATTCTTGGGAAGGGAGTGGAGGTACTTGAAGTCCCATCATCCATGGTCTTTCCTCCTCGAAAGGGCACCAGGATGTAGAGTGGGTCATGATGACTCTGTGTGCCAAGTTTGGTCTTGATCAGTCATTGGCGAGGGTCTCAGTGGTCTCAGGAAGTGAGTTAAGGTACTGCAAGCCCCATCATAGTATCATAGAATCAAAGAGTTGGAAGAGACCTCCTGGGCCATCCTGTCCAACCGCCTGCCAAGAAGCAGGAATATTGCATTCAAAGCACCCCTGACAGATGGCCATCCAGCCCCTGTTTAAAAGCTTCCAAAGAAGGCGCCTCCACCACACTCCAGGGCAGAGAGTTCCACTGCTGAATGGCTCTCACAGTCAGGAAGTTCTTCCTCATGTTCAGGTGGAATCTCCTCTCTTGTAATTTGATCATCCATAGACTCCCTCAAACCTCACCAGAATGTTGAGTTGGCCATGGTTTGGTCTTTATTGGTATTTAGATGAGTGCCGCTGTGGTTTCGGGAAGTGAGTGAAGGTACTTGAAGTCCCGTCATCCATAGTCTGTTCTCCCCCAAACCTCACCAGAATGTTGAGTTGGCCATGGTTTGGTCTTTATTGGTATTTGGATGAGTGTCGCTGTGGTTTCGGGAAGTGAGTGAAGGTACTTGAAGTCCTGTCATCCATAGTCTGTTCTCCCCCAAACCTCACCAGAATGTTGAGTTGGCCATGGGGGCTCTGTGTGTCGAGTTTGGTCTTCATCAGTCATTGGATGAGGGTCTCAGTGGTTTCACTAAGTGAGTGAAGGTACTGCAAGTCCCATCGTCCATGGTGCATCGTCCTCCAAACCGCAGCAGGATGTAGAGTGCATCATGGAGACTTGGTGTGCCAAGTTTGGTCTTTATTGGTAATTGTATGATCGTTGCAGTGGTCTCAGGAATTGAGCGAAGGTACTGCAAGTCCCATAATCCATGCTCGATCCACAGCCAAACCACACCAGGGTGTAAAGTGGGTCATGAGAGGTCTATGTGCCAAGTTTGGTGTTGTTCAGTCATTGTTGAGGGTCGCAGCAGTCTCAGAAAGCGAGTAGAGGTACTTCAAGTCCCATCATCCATGGACTGCCCTACTCCAAACCACAGTAGGACGTAGAGTGGGTCATGGGGCCTCTGTGTGCCAAGTTTGGTCTCTCTGGATGAGGAGGAACAAGCTGAAGATCAATCCCAACAAGACAGAGGACCTCCTGGTCGATCGCAAACCTGACCGGGGTATAGGGTGGCAACCTGTGCTGGACGGGGTTACATTCCCCCTGAAGCCACAGGCCCGCAGTTTGGGAGTCCTCTTGGATTCATCACTTACGCTTGAGGCTCAGGCGTCGGCGGTGTCTGGGAGGGCTTTTGCACAACTGAGACTCGTGCACCAACTGCGACCGTACCTCGCAAAGGCTGATCTGGCCGGGGTGGTCCATGCCTTGGTCACCTCTAGACTGGAATACTGTAATGCGCTCTACATGGGGCTGCCCTTGAAAACGGCTCGGAAATTCCAACTGGTCCAACGGGCAGCAGCCAGGATGTTAACTGGTGCTCCTTACAGAGAGAGGTCAACCCTCACCTCACCCCTTTCTGAATCATCTCACCGCTCATCTCTCTTTGCTCTGAATCCAGACCAAAGCGGAGCTGAAGCAGGCACAGCAGAGGCTGTCGGAGGCCTCCAAGGCCTGCTCCTCGCTCACCTCGCAGTGGGAGCTCAGCCAGCAGAAGGCCAAGGAGCTGGAGCTGGAGGCCCTGCGGCTGGGGCAAGCGGCCAAGCAGCTGAGCGGCCTCCAGGAGAGGCTCGAGCAGGAGAAGGTCCGTGCCTCCAAAGCCGAGAAGAAGGTCAGTATCATTATCATTACTGTTATTATTACACTATGCAACACAGTTTTTGTTCCTGATTTGTCGATGTCATTTCATTATTGATTCTATCCTAAAAACATGGGGAAAGTTGATTTAGCTACGAAAACATTGTTTCTGCAGAGGGACGTCCTGCAGCATATTATATTATATTATTATATATATTTATTATCATACTAGCCGTCCCCTGCCATGTGTTGCTGTGGCCCAGTTTTTGTATATGTGTTTTGACTACAGATCCTGTACTTGGGACCTTTATCTCCTAATTACGCTATGTCCCAAGCAGCCAGAAATGCGTGTCCTTTTAGCCTTGAATCCCTTATCATTCTTTCTTTGAGCCTGGCAGAACGCCTAAGAGACTGATTTGCTTTTCTATTCTGACGTCTTTATTACGCTATGTCCTAAGTGGCCAGAAATGGGTTTCATTTTAGCCTCGAATTCTTTATCATTCTTTTTGGAGCCTGGCACAACGCCTAAGCGACTGGTTTGCTTTTCTATTCTGACTCCTAATTACGCTATGTCCCAAGCGGCCAGAAATGGGTTTTGTTTCAGCCTTGAATCCCTTATCATTCTTTCTTTGAGCCTGGCAAAATGCCTAAGAGACTAGTTTGCCTTTCTATTCTGACTCCTAAGTACACTATGTCCTAAGCAGCCAGAAATGGGTTTTGTTTTAGCCTTGAATCCCTTATCATTCTTTCTTTGAGCCTGGCAGAATCCCTAAGCGACTGGTTGGCTTTTCTGTTCTGACTCCTAATTACGCTATGTCCTAAGCAGCCAGAAATGGGTGTCCTTTTAGCCTTGAATCCCTTATCATTCTTTCTTTGAGCCTGGCAGAACGCCTAAGAGACTGGTTGCTTTTCTATTCTGACTCCTAAATATGCTATGTCCCAAGCCGCCAGAAATGGGTTTCGTTTTAGCCTTGAATCCTTTATTCTTTTTTTGAGCTTGGCAGAATGCCTAAGCAACTGGTTTGCCTTTCTATTCTGACTCTTTATTACGCTATCTCCTAAGCGGCCAGAAATGGGTTTTGTTTAAGCTTTGAATCCCTTATCATTCTTTCTTTGAGCCTGGCAGAACGCCTAAGCGATTGGTTTGTTTTTCTATTTTGACTCCTAATTACGCTATGTCCCAAGCGGCCTGGAAGGCGGGGAGGTGCATGAGGTCATCCAGGTGACGGGAGACAGCGTCCAGGTTGACCCGCCACACGATGCGGCTCTCAGACGAGACAATCACAGGCTAAACTCCAACGAAGGGTCTCAAATACAGGCCTCGCTCCTCAGAGGCCTGTCTTTGTTTCTGCCCAGATTGCAGAGCTGCAGCAGAAGCTGAAGGAGTCTCATCACCAGCTACGACTTTGCGAGGCCCAGGTTTCGGGGAAGAAAGCGCTGGAGGAGGAGGCGGCAGAGCTGCGGGAAAAGGAGGCCCAGGCCCTGCGGCAGGCCCAAGAAGAGCAGCGCAAGAGGTGACAGACACCCACCCCCCAGGCCTTGGCTTTCCCTTCCGCTGCCTCTCTTTGGAGGGAAGAAAGGCCGGGGAGGGTGAGACAGATCCCTTTTGGGAAAGACATCTCCAGCCAGCACTTCCCAGTCCAACACTTTGCACAGATCCTCTCCAAACTGGGCTGAAGACCCCAAATAGAGTCACTTCCCTGTCAACATGGAAAAGGGGGAAATGATAGGAAGGATAGGTAGGTAGGTAGGTAGGTAGGTAGGTAGTTAGATAGATAGATATGCAGATAGATAGATACTAGATAGATAGATAGATAGATAGATAGATAGATAGATAGATAGATAGAGATAAGCTAGTAGGTAGATTGGTGTGAAGGTAGATAGCTAGACTGATAGATAGGCTGGTAGACAGGTAGACTGTTAGGATGGTAGATACATACATAGATAGACAGACATAGATGGTAGGGAGATAGAGTGGGAGATAGATAGATTGTTATGATGTTAAGATAATCATCTTAACATCTACCTTTGATAGGTAGATGGATAAGTAGATAGAGAAATTTGCAGATAGACAGAAAGGCTGGTAGATAGGTAGACTGGTATGAAGATAGATAGATAGATAGATAGATAGATAGATAGATAGATAGATAGATAGATTTGCAGATAATTAAAAAGGTTAGTAAATAGGTAGAGTGGTATGAAAGATGGATGGACAGATGGATGAATAGGGTGGTAAATAGATAGGGTGGTAGATAAGTAGACTGTTATTGTGATAGGATGATTGGTAAGTAGGTGGGTAGGTAGATAATTTGCAAATAGAAAGGCTGGTAGATAGGTAGTCTGGTATGAAGACGGATGGATGGATGGATGGAGAGGGAGAGATTTGCAAATAGAAAGGTTAGTAGATAGGTAGACTGGTATGAAAGATGGATGGATGGAGAGAGAGAGAGAGATGGATGGATGGATGGATGGATGGATGGATGGATGGATGGAGAGATGGATGGAGGAATGGATAGGGTGGTAGATAGATAGGGTGGTAGATAAGTAGACTATTATGGTGATAGGATGATTGATAGGTAGGTAGGTAGGTAGGTAGGTAGGTAGGTAGGTAGGTAGGTAGAGAAATTTGCGGAGCGATAGAAAGGCTGGTAGATAGACTGGTATGAAGATACATAGAAGGGTGGATGGAGAGAGAGAGATTTGCAGATAGATAGGAAGGTTGGTTGATAGACTGGTATGATGGATGGGTGGATAGATGAATGAAGAGAGAGAGAGATTTGCAGATAGATAGAATGGTTGGCAGATAGGTATACTGGTATGGAAGACGGATGGATAGAGGGATAGATGGATGGATGGATGGATGGATACATGGATGGATGGATGGATACATGGATGGATGGATGGATGGATGGGTGGGTGGATGGATGGATGGGTGGGTGGATGGATGGGTGGGTGGGTGGGTGGGTGGGTGGATGGATGGATAAATACATGGATGGATGGATGGATGGATGGATGGATGGATGGATGGATGGATAGGATGGTAGATAGATAGGGTGGTATAGAAGTAGACAGTTATGATGATAGGATGATTGATTGGTAGGTAGGTAGGTGGGTTGAGAAATTTGCTGATAGATAGGAAGGTTGGTAGATAGTTAGACTGGCATGATGGATGGGTGGATAGATGAATGAAGAGAGAGAGAGATTTGCAGATAGGTAGAATGGTTGGCAGATAGGTATACTGGTATGAAAGATAGACGGATGGATGGATGGATGAATAGGATGGTAGATAGATAGGGTGGTATATAAGTGGATGGATGGATGGATGGATGGATAGGATGGTAGATAGGGTGGTATATAAGTGGATGGATAAATGGTTGGATGGATGGATGGATGGATGAATAGGATGGTAGATAGATAGGGTGGTATATAAGTAGATGGATGGATGGATGGATAAATGGATGGATGGATGGATGAATAGGATGGTAGATAGATAGGGTGGTATATAAGTAGACCGTTATGGTGATAGGATGATTGATTGGTAGATGGGTGGGTAGATAGATTGAGAAATTTGCAGATAGATAGAAAGGTTGGTAGATAGGTAGACTGGTAGGATAGATGGATGGAGGGATGCCTTTCCAAGGGAAGTGATGGGGCTGGGGCCATCTCAATGTCTCTTTTGGTTGTCAGATGTCACTCTGTCGGGAGGGACTGGATTGTGTCTTCCTTCATAGCAGAAGGGGGCTGGACTGGATGGTCTTTGGGGGACCCTGATGAGTTTGTGATTCCATGGGGATGGAAGGGATGGGGTTGCTTTGGGTCCATCTTAATGCCTTCTTTGTTTGTTTTGATGCCCTCTTCCTCTCTCCAGGAAGGCCCTGGACCTCCGGGCGGAGGAGCTGCAGCAGCAGGCGAGGCTCCAAAAGGAGAAAGAGGCCCAGCTGGTGAGGAAGTGTGCGGAGCTCCAGGTCCGGGCCCAGCAGCAGGAGGCCCGGCTCCGGGTCTTGGAGGAGGAGAAGAAGACCCTCTCCAACGAGGTGAGCAATCCCACAATCCCATCTCCCATCAATCTTGCAAATGGACGTTGATGAAAAGGGGACTGCAGCGCTCAGCTTTCCTGGACCCGATTTCCTCCCACAGCACCTCCGTTGCCAGAAATACAGCCAGAAGCTGTCGGAGCAGCTCTTGACCTTGCAGCGGGAGAAGGAGACGCTCCACGAAGAGTACGGACACATCCTGAAGCAAGTGGACACCTCCATCAGGTATCTAAGCCACAATGTGTATTAGGCAGGATTAGGAAGAACATTGCCTTATAGGAACAAAGAGCTATTGTCTTGGGTCACTGAAAAAGGGGACTATGATTCTACTAAGGAGACGAAGCGGATCTTTATGTAGTTTGTATTTGTGCATAGTTATATGTTGTTGTCACTGACTTTTGTAACTGTCTTTTTATGTGTACTGTACACCGCCATGAGTCGCCCGTAGGGCTGAGAATGGCGGTTAATAAGTGCATCAAATAAATAAATAATAAAAGGGGAAGCAATAATAATAATAATAATAATAATAATAATAATAATAATAATAATAATACAACAACAACAACAATAAAAAATAATAACTGTGACATACTGTGTTTTTGTGTCAGTGAAATAATAATAATAATGATAATAATAATCTGTGTGCCTTGGGTCACTAAAAAAGGGGAAGCAATAATAATAATAATAACAACAACAACAACAAAATAATAATAATAACGACATACTGTGTTTTTGTGTCAGTAAAATAATAATAAAAATATAATTATAATAATAATAATACTTCTGTGTGCCTTGGGTCACTGAAAAAGGGGAAGCAATAATAATAACAACAACAACAATAAAATAATAACTGTGACATACTGTGTTTTTGTGTCAGTGAAACAATAATAATAATAATTCTGTGTGCCTTGGGTCACTGAAAGAGGAGAAGCAATAATAATAATAACAACAACAGCAATAACAACAACAATAAAATAATAATAACTGTGACATACTGTTTTTTTGTGTCAGTAAAATAATAATAATAATAATAATAATAATAATAATAATAATAATAATAATAATACTTCTGTGTGCCTTGGGTCACTGAAAAAGGGGAAGCAATAATAATAACAACAATAATAATACAACAACAACAAAAATAATAACTGTGACATACTGTGTTTTTGTGTCTGTGAAATAATAATAATAATAATAATAATAATAATAATAATAATCTGTGTGCCTTGGGTCACTGAAAAAGGGGAAGCAATAATAATAACAACAACAACAACAACAACAATAAAATAATAATGACATACTGTGTTTTTGTGACAGTAAAATATAATAATAATAATAATAATAATAATAATAATACTTCTGTGTGCCTTGGGTCACTGAAAAAGGGGAAGCAATAATAATAATAATAATAATAATAATAATAATAATAATAATAACAGCAATAACAACAACAATAAAATAATAACTGCAACTATTTTGTTGGTCATGGGGGCTCTGTGTGCCAAGTTAGTTCCAAGTCCATCGTTGGTGGTGTTCAGAGATTGCAGGTGAACTATACATCCCAAGACCTACAACTCCTATAAATCATGGCGAATTCTCCCCAACCCTCTCCAGTATGTTCAATTGCTGATCAATTCCTCTGCTTGCTGTGCACCATAGAAAAGAATAGGACAGGGTTAAGGGAGAGGCAGTGGGTGGAATCATGCAAATTCCACACCAATGGAGAGAGTCGGAAACACTGGGGTGTCTGTGGTGGAGGAAGCACATATAATCCAGGAGGAAATTGTACCCGAATGAAAGCCTTCACTTGAGTGGTGGGCAGTATGGTGTTTGTGGAGGACATTGTTGTAGGAACACCTCTGACCTTAAACTCCACAGCAGCCTGGTAAAATCAGCAAGCAGTTTATTGAAGAAAATATGTAGGCAAAGCAGTAATAAAATAACAAAAAAACAGTAGAAGTCTGATATATAAAATAGTCCATAACTTCAAAGGAAAACAAAATCCACAAGTACATAAAAATCCATGAAACTAGTTGAATTCATGAAACAAGACAGTAGGAAAATCTCATAGACAAATCTTAAGCCTGGCAAAAACTTGGTGCATGAAACTCAGAGCACTTGGAATCCTAGAGTTGGAAGAGACCTTGTGAGCCATCCAGTCCAACCCCCTGCCAAGAAGCAGGAAAATCGCGTTCAAAGCACCCCCGACCAATGGCCATGCAGCCTCTGTTTAAAAGTCTCCCTAGAAAGAGCCTTCACCACACTTTGGGGCAGGGAGTTCCTCTGCTGAACAACTCTCACAATCAGGAAGTTCATCCTAATGTTCAGGTATTGCTCCATTGCGTCCTAGTTTCCAGGGCAGCAGAAAGGAAGCTTGCTCCCTCCTCCCTATGACTTCCCCTCACATATTTAGATATGGCCCTCATCATGTCTCCTTCCAGTCTTCTCTTCTGAGGCTAAACATGCCCAGCTCTTTAAGCCACTCCTCATAGGGCTTCTTCTCCAGACCCTTGATTGTTTTAGTCGCCCTCCTCTGGACACATTCCAGCTTGTCAATATCTCTTGTCAATTATGGTGCCTAGAATTGAACACAATATTCCAAGTGTGGTCTAATAGTCTTGAAAGCAAGACTGTGATAAAATAACAACATTGACCCAATTGAGGCAACTCTCTCCCATGAATCATGATAAAGCTTTTTCAGATCCCAAAACTGAAAGGAAAGCATTTCTCTTGACCTTCCCACCAGATAACAGTTTGTTACCTCTCTTTTGATGTAGATGAACTGGTTGCCTCAGTCTCTGAAGACTTTGCCTCTGTTTACTAAATCTTTGCTTTCTGTCCAATCTTTCATTATCTTCTCCCTCATTAACTCCTGCACCTGACAAATCATTTTCAGACAGTTGTTCTGAGAAAAGCAGCAAAGGCCCTCTCCCAAGAATGTGGCCTTGTGAATCTTCCTGAGACAGCTCAGGCCTCTCATCTGAGCTCAATTCAGGCCCAAACAAACCCTCATACCCAATGCCAACAGATCCAGACTCACCATTGGAAACATCCCCATTCCCATCATGGACATCAACATGAACATCTGACACAGTTGCAGGCTGACTTACAACAGACTTTGGCAGGGCTCTTGGACATGTTCATGGCACTCACTCTAACCCGCAATGTCATTGGAGGGAGGGCCTTTGGTGTCTCCTGACAAATCTTGAGCATGTCAAAAACTTGTTACATGAAACTCAGAGCACTTGAAAGGAAAACAAGAACCATGAGTACATCAAAATCCATGAAACTAGGCACTTGAAGCCATGAAACAAGACAGCAGGAAAAACCCACAGACAAATCTTGAGCTTGGCAAAAACTTGGTACATGAAACACAGAGTACTTGAAAGCAAAGACCGTGATAAGATAACAATGTTGACCCAACAGAGGCAACCCATTCCCTTGAATCATTATAAAGCTTTGTGGTTGTGGTTGTTGTTGTATTATAATTTCCCCACATACATATTTTCATTTTTATTATGTGTATAGATTGTGATTCTGGGGGGGGGGGGGTGAAAATCTCCCATCTTGGATGGATGAGAATGGCAGGAAAGCAAAGAATGACATGTGGGTAGGAGGAATGAAGGTGAATGTCAGGAGTCAATTTCTGATAGCATGAAGACATCACAAATTCCCTCCATGACATCCTGACTGAATCATCCTGGCTGAATCAATTCCCTCTCTGTGACATTTTGAAGCCAGCAGAGGGTTCTGGAAGCCTTGTATTGGAACTTGAGAAGCAACAAGTTCTAATAAGGAAACTGAGAAGAGGGGGAGATGGGCAGGAAAGGTGTATAAAAGGAAATGGTGGTGGGAAAAAGTCAGTAGTGCCTTTCTCTGCTGCAGAGATACAAGCAATATATCCATTTCAAAGCACAAGCGGCTTGTGAGTGGTTATTTAATATTGCCATATAGATCCTACAGTCTTACAGTGAAAGAGATGCATTAGAGAAGCCACGGCTTATAAGAGGCATTCCGCTTGGGTTTGTCGTGTGTCCAAATGTCTCATGGAGTTGGAATACATCCCAAAGGCCATCCAGTCCAACCTCCTTCTGCCAGGCAGGAAGATACAATCAAAGTCCTCCTAACAGATGGCCATCTAGCCTCTGCTTAGAAGCCTCTGTGTGGGGTTGAGCTGTTCCAGAGTGAAGCTGAGCATGACCCCCCCCAAACAAGGGATGGTGACTTATAGTTCTGCAAAGGACAAAGGTACCAGACTGCACAATAGGGGTTAAGTCTTGGTAAATTTGTCAAGGCCTTAACAACAATGAGGACCCCATGAAACTTTGGGAATGGCTAGACCTTGGGGTCTCTGCCTCTCTCGAGAGAGCTGTAGTTTTCCAAGGACCATGGGACCGGCTTCCATCCCAGCGCTGCAGGGCTTTGCGTCTTGACCCAGTGGAACTCCATAGACTCCCTTTGGTGGCTTTTTGAATTCTGCTACATTCCTGGACTTCACTCTCTTCAAGGACTCGCTCTCTACCCATGAACTTTCTTCAAGACAACTTAAGAATTCATGCTGTGTCCTGATATCGTCTGCTTTTTATAATTGGTATTATTAATCTCTCTCTGGGGTCCTGGATGGGAAGATAGCTGCATATGATTTCCCTGGGTATAATTTCTATATGGTTTTTATGTTTCCTTGTATTCCTGACCCTTTGCCCCTTCTCCCTCCAAGGAAATTTGTAAGGGAACCACCTGGCCTAAACAATTGTTTGACAAAAGTTTCTGTAAGATAAGGGGAAACCTTCCCCTCTGCTTTTTGTTTACTTCCCATTGATAGCATTAACCCCAGGCATTGTTACCCTGTCTCACAGCCAGGAAGGACACATGTTGATTCACAACACTCAAAGCAGCCCTGTATGGGCTCTTTGTCTCACAGAGCACATGGCAATCCTTTGTTTAAAGATTCCTTCCCAGATTCCTTTGTGTTCCATCATCCCGCCCCCATCTCTCCTGATTGGCTGTCGCCACCAGGTAACAGAGGTCTCCCCATTGGATTCTACGGACCACTGGAGCTTCCTGGTTGGTCCAGAGGCGCCGGGGGCAGGGGGGCACCTCCCAGGTGTCCGCCCATTACCCAATCACAGCAGGGAACAACAGGGAAGCCGGGACGGGGAGTTTGAACTCTGCAAATATGAATTTACTATAAATATGACTGCATTGGTGTAATCTCCTCATGCTTAGCTTGGCAAATGATTGCAGCTTTGCATCCAGTTTCAGCTGAATCACATTAAACTTCGATGGCTTTTCTTCAACTGGTGAGGCTTTTCATTGGGAAATCAGGGAAAAATATGGGATGCTTCTCTGTCTCGCCAGGAAAAAAAGAACTCTTTGATGTGTCTAATTGGTCTCTGCCTCCTGGCAAAGACCCCTAAGTTTTAGCTCTATAACAAGAGTCTTGTCTCCTTTCCCAGGAAACACAATGAGCGGCAACTGCGGCACAAAGCCAAGCTCCGTCGGGCCAAGGAGACCTTCATCTGCGAAGTCAAGCAACGCAACATCCGCATCCGGCAGCTGGAAGATGAGCTCGCGCTCTCCAAGGGCCACGCGGAAAAGGTGAGTGGAAGGACATTGAGAAACTCTACTCTTTGGACTCAAAAGAACCAAATGCAGCCTCCCAGATGTTCCTGTATTCTCAACTCCCATCAACTCTCATGTTGATGTCTAATGATGAGGAAGATAGGAGTTGTAATCCAGCATCTGGAGGAGGGATACCTAAAAGGACGTGGAGGGCCGGATTTGGGCTGCAGGCCTTGCGTTTGCCTCATGTGCCTTTAAGGGACTCTTCAGGCTCTTCCTGGAGTTACTCCCTTCTACTAATGATGTTACTGGGTTTACATGGCGGGAGAATCTGAGGTCCTATGGGGAACGGCATCCATATTTTATTACTAACTTGGGGACCCTATAGTGATTATTTAAGAAAGGCATTGTTTGTTTATCAAAGTTTGGCAATTGCAGTTGATAATGTATATATAGCACTATTTATTAGAAAAAAGCCATTTTTTCCTTTTGTTTTTTATGAATGCTCCCATTAGAAAATGCATAAGGATGTGGGTGAACTATAATTCCCAGAATCGTGGGTCAATCTTTCCCAAACCCTGCCATTATTCAAAGTTGGCCATGTTAGGTCTGTGTGCCAAGTTTGGTCCAGATCCGTCGTCGACTGGGTTCAGTGTTCTCTGGATAAGGGTGAACTATAACTCCCAGATTCCCAAGGCAATCACCCCCAAACCCTGTCAGTATTCACGGTTGGCCATGTTAGGTCTTGTGTGCCAAGTTTGGTCCAGATCCATTGTCGACTGTTCAGTCTTCTCTGGATAAGGGTGAACTACAGCTCCCATATGCCAAGGTCAAGTCACCCCCAAACCCTGCCGTGTTGGGTCTGTGTGCTAAATTTGATCCCGGTCCATTGATGGCGGGGGATTGCAGTTCCTCTGGATGCGGGTGAATTACAGTTATCTGAAATCAAGATCATCCCCCCGCCCTCAATCCCCTCCAGTACGTTCTGTTGGTCATGGGGGTTCCCAGGCCCATCATTCTTGGGGGTCACAGTGTTCTCTGGAACTGGATGAGGGTAAGGCAAATCCCATCATCCATGGTCCATCCTCCCCGAAACTTGATCAGGATGTGAAATGGGTCATGGGGTGTCTGTGTGCCAAGTTTGGTCCAGGTCCGTCATTCGTGGGGGTCGCAGTAGTTTCTGGAAGTGGATGAAGGTACTTCAAATCCCATCATCCATGGTCCAACCATCCCCAAACCACAACAGGACATAAAGTGAGTCATGAGGGCTCTGTGTGCCAAGTTTGGTCCTGATTCATCATTTGTGGAGATCACAATGGTCTGTGAGAGCTGAGATGATTGAAAGTACTGCAAATCCCATTATCCATGGTCCAGCCTCCCCCAAACTGCCAGATTCCCAGGGCAATCACCCCCAAGCCCTGCCAGTATTCACAGTTGCCCATGTTGGGTCTGTGTGCCACGTTTGGTCCAGATCCATTGTTGGTTGGGTTCACAGTGCTCTCTGGACATAGGTGAACTACAACTCCTCTAAATCATGGTGAATTCTTCTCGAGCCTCTTGTTCAGTTGCTGATCAATTCCTGTTTGCTGTGTGCCATAGGAATGGGAAGGAAAGGGTTAAGTGAGAGGCAGTGGGAAGGGTCATGCAAATTCCACACCAATGGAGAGAGAAAGGAACCCTGGGATGTCCATTCTGGAGGGAAAAACAGGAAATTGTCTCCAAATGAAACCATTTCTTGTGTGCTTGGTGTCTGGGGAGGACATTAGCAGGGGTTGGGCTACATGTTCACGGCATTCACTATAACCTAAGTGGAGGGAGTGCCTGTGGAGCCTACTCAGCGCTTGGAACTATGGCGTATATATAGGCGGGTGGCTGTCTGTGTAAGTGGACACCTCCGCAACACATATATACATACGCACATTTTCACTTTTATTATGTGTATACATTATATTATTATTATTATTATTATTATTATTATTCATGGGGGTCGCAGTGTTCTCTGGAAGTGGATGAAGGTACTGAAAATCCCATCATCCATGGTCCATCCTCCCCCAAACTTCATCAGGATGTGAAATGGGTCATGGGGTGTCTTTGTGCCAAGTTTGGTCCAGGTCTTTCATTCATGGGGGTCGCAGTAGTCTCTGGAAGTAGATGAAGGTACTGCAAATCCCATCATCCATGGTCCATCCTCCCCCAAACTTGATCAGGATGTGAAATGGGTCATGGGGTGTCTGTGTGCCAAGTTTGGTCCAGGTCCGTCATTCGTGGGGGTCGCAGTAGTCTCTGGAAGTGAATGAAGGTACTGAAAATCCCATCATCCATGGTCCATCCTCCCCCAAACTTGAACAGGATGTGAAATGGGTCATGGGGTGTCTGTGTGCCATGTTTGGTCCAGGTCCGTCATTCGTGGGGGTCGCAGTAGTTTCTGGAAGTGGATGAAGGTACTGCAAATCCCATCATCCATGGTCCATCCTCCCCCAAACTTGATCAGAATGTGAAATGGGTCATGGGGGGGGGGTGTCTGTRTGCCAAGTTTGGTCCAGGTCCGTCATTCGTGGGGGTCGCAGTGTTTTCTGGAAGTGGATGAAGGTACTGCAAATCCCATCATCCATGGTCCATCCTCCTCCAGACTTCATCAGGATGTGAAGTGGGTCATTGGGGGGATCTGGGTGCCAAGTTTGGTCCAGGTCCGTCATTCGTGGGGGTCGCAGTGTTCTCTGGAACTGAACACTATATTATTATTATTATTATTATATGATTATATTTATTATTATTATTATTATTATTATTATTATTATTATTATTATTAAACTGCCTCGAGTCACCTTCGGGTTGAGAGAGGTGGTATATAAATATGGTAAATAAATAAATACATACATACATACATATTATTATTATTCCGCAGGACCGCGCTCTGGTCCAGCAGATCTCTTCCGAGAACGAGCGGTTGCTGCAAGAGAAAAGGAGGCTCCTGCAACAGGCCCACGACCTCGAGGAAGCCAAGCGGAGCAGCAAATCCGCCCTCTCCGCTGCCCAGAACAGGTACAGAGGCCGACGGCGAGGCCCACTTCGTTACGTGGGGGTGTGTGTGTGTCATTTTACTTTCTGAACCTTAAAAGCGTTCTTTAATCTATTTTCGGTGGGACCGAGTACAATCAGGCGCTTTCAGAAAAAGAAGTAGACACACAGATTCGGTACTGCTTTTATTATTTATTTATTTACTAGCTTCGGGACCCGGCGCTGCCTGGGTTATTTGAGATAGGCATTGTGTGGCAAAGGTGTTCTTTATCAGTTAGTGAAGGTACTATGAATCCCATTGTGCATGGCCCATCCTCCCTCCAAGCAGCACCTGGATGTAGAGTGGGTCATGGAGGCTCTGTGTGCCAAGTTTGGTCTTGATCAGTCATTGTATGAGGGTCACAGCGGTTTCAGGAAGTGAGTGGAGGTACTTCAAATCCCATCATCCATGGTCCGCCCTCCTCCAAACTGCAGTAGGATGTAGAGTGAGTCATGGGGGCTCTGTGTGCCAAGTTTGGGCTTTATCGGTCTTTGTTGGGGGCCGCAGTGGTCTGTGGGAACTGAAGGGTTTGAAAGTACTACAAATCCCATCATCCTTTGTCCTCCCCCAAACCACACCAGGATGTAAAATGCATCATGGGGGTTATGTGTGCCAAGTTTGATCCAGGTCTGTCACTTGTGCAAGTCTCTGTGGCCTGTGAAAGTGAGAGCCAATCAGAAAGCTGCCACATACACTTCCGCCCTTCCGCCCTCCGCATACATTAATATATACAGACAAACATTCACTTTTATAGATTTTATTTTATTTACAGTATTGATATTTATATGGTGATATAGTAGCTATATTGGTTCCACAAAGTGTCATACATCCGAGCAGGAACACCTCTGACCTTAAACACCACACCCACTTGGTAAAATCAGCAAGCAGTAGGCAAAGCAGTAAAAAAAAAATAGCAAAAAAAAATTAAGTTCCAATACAGTGTTCCCTCGCTACTTTGCAGTGTCGCTTTTCGTGGACTCGCTTATTTGCAGTTTTTTAAAAATATATATGAATTTTAAATATACAACTCAAGTAGCGAGGGAACACTTGCTGTCGCCTGGGCCTCTTGACGCCCCCCCCCCCCTTTCACTCACTCACTGACTCAATCGGCTCTTCTTCCCTCCTCGCCCTCTTTTACCTTCCTCGTCCTACCATTTGGGCTCTGCAATGCCCCCACTGCCGGGACTATCCTCTTCTGTCCTGGCGGAGGAGGCAGCGGAGGCCTCGCAGGGCCCAGGCGGTGACAAGGAGGAGGAAGAAGAAGGTAAAGAGGTCAAGGAGGTAATAATAAGAATAATAAGAATAATAAATGATAATGCTGGATAATAATATAATAGTTCTATTTTCCTACCTTGCAGAACGGGGCTGGGCTGGATGATAGAACTATCAGTCTAATAATAATAATAATAATAATAATAATAATAATACTGGATACTAATATAATAGGAATTCTAGCTTGCTGCTTGGCTGAAGGGGATTGGACTGGATGGCTCTTGCGGTCCACTTCCAACCCGATGATGATGATGATGATGATGATGATGATGATGATGATGATGATGATAATAACAATAATAGTATAGGAGTTCTGTCTTCCTGCCTGGCAGAAGTGGGTTGGACTAGATGTCCTTTGGGGTCCCTTCCAACTCTATCAGTCTAATGATTACCAAAATACAATGTTACCTGCTGCCAAAGAGCTCTCTCTTCCAGAGGCCTTTTTCTCCAGAGATTCTCAACTGCTGCTTATTTTACAGATCATCCCAAGAAACTATGACAATTTCCTTAAGAGGGAAGTCAGATTAGCCCCTTTCCGGCCCTTTTTCCTCCCCTAAACTTCCATTGCGGGATTTCCCAGGGCGCAGTTTTTGGACGAAGAAAACCGGCATCTGCAGGAGCGGGTCTCACAGCTGGCCGCCCAAGTCGGGATCCTGGAGCGGACCCTGAGGAACATCCACAGCCACAGCTTGGAAGTAAGGAGGAACCCCTTCCCCTTCCTTGCTATGCAGATGTTGTTCCTGTTACTGTTGTTCCTGTTGTTGTTATTGTTGTTCTTGTTGTTTCTGTTGTTACTATTGCAAAGACTAGATGGCCATCTGTCGGGGATGCTTTGATTTGTCCTTTTCCTGCATGACAGAATGGGGTTGGACTGGATGACCCCTGGGGTTGCTTGTAGTTTTGTTGTTGTTTCTGTTCCTGTTGTTGTTTTTGTTGTTGTTACTATTGCAAAGACTAGATGGCCATCTGTCGGGGATGCTTTTATTGCATGGCAGAAGGAGGTTAGACTGAGTGACCCCTGGGGTTGCTCCTGATTTTGTTCTTGTTGTTGTTCCTGGTATTGTTGTTGTTCCTCTTTCTGTTCCTATTGTTATTATTATTACTATTGCAAAGGCTAAATGGCCATCTGTTGGGGAGGCTTTGATTTGTGCCTTTCCTCATGGCAGAAGGAGGTTGGTTTGAGTGACTTCTGGGGTTGCTCCTGGTTTTGTTGTTGCTGTTATTCCTGGTGTTGTTATTGTTCCTGTTCCTATTATTATTATTATTATTATTATTATTATTACTATTGCAAAGGCTAAATGGCCATCTGTCAGGGATGCTTTGATTTGTGTTTTTACTGCATGGCAGTGAAGTCAATATGGAATTTAGGAGGGTCTCCCCAGTAAGAGAGACCCCTAGGACCGCACCAAAGAGGGTCTATGACCTTGGCGAGCCGTCAGAGAAGCCTGATTCCAGCAATTGTATTAATATTAATAATTGAAATGAGACTCTTGCCAAGGCGAAGAAGAGGCATCGAGGTTTAATGAGCGATTCAGCTGAGTCGGATACAAATGCGGGGATAGCTCACCCACAAGCATACCAATACATTGATCAGAGGCATATTTATAGCAAATTCAAAGTTGCAGAGTTCAAACTCCCCGCCCCGGCTTCCCTGTTGTTCCCTGCCTCCGGTGCCTCTGGACCAGTCAGGAAGCTCCAGTGGTCCGTAGGAACCCATGGGGAGACCTCTGCCACCTGGTGGCGGCAGCCAATCAGGAGAGATGGAGGCGGGATGAGGGAGCACAAAGGAATCTGGGAAAGGAGTGAACAAAGGAAATGCCATGTGGCCGGCGAGACAAAGGGGAAATCTCAAGCCAGCCTGATCTATCAACATGTGTAGACTGGGGTGATTTTTTCTTGGTGGAGATAGCTGAGTTAATCAGAGCGAAGGCAAAAAGTTTTTCGAGGACCTTTTGTCCTTCAGGAGGAAATATTATTAAGATTTTTGCCAAAGGGGCACGCTCGACTTCACCAATATGAGTCTAACAACAACAACAACAACAACAACAATAGATAATGGATAATAATATAATAGTAATTCTATCTTCCTGCCTGGCAGAAGGAGCTTTGGCTGGATGGCCTCTGGGATCTCTCCCAATATGAGTCTAACAACGACAACAACAACAACAACAATAATAATAATAATAATAATAATAATACATAACGGATAATAATATAATAAAAATAAAAATATAATAATAGTTCTAACTTCCTGCCTGGCAGAAGGTTTGGCTGGATGTCCTCTGGGGTCTCTCCCAATATGAGTCTAACAACAATAACAACAACAACAACAACAACAACAACAATATATAATGGATAATAATATAATAGTAGTTCTATCTTCCTGCCTGGCAGAAGGAGCTTTGGCTGGATGGCCCCTGAGGCCTCTCCTAATATGAGAATAATAATAATAATAATAATAATAATAATAATAATAGTGTAAATATGTTTGATTTGTTTTCCCCCAGGAGCTGCAAAGCATTGGCTTCTCGGAGTGCCGGCTGCAGAGCAAGATCCTTCCCCTACCCAACATCAGGTACTACCCCACTTTGCTTGCCCCGTTTCCTTGGCTCAGAGGAACCGGAGACAGTTTCCAAGGGAATACAATATTTATTTATTTATCCTAACAGCTGGTAAACTGGCTGGGATTTTTGGGAGTTGTAGGCCAAAACACCTGGGGACCCACAGGTTGAGAACCATTGGCTTGGAAAACATTGTGCACTTTCAAAGGCTCCCATTGGCAGGGTCAAAGTTGGCAGGGCTAGGGATGCTGGGAAGTGGAGTTCAACATATTTGTAGAATCTCAAGGGCTCAGAACCAGTTAGAGTTGGGCTCGGAGCCACTTGGGCTCAGAACCAGTTGAGCTCAAAATGTTAGTGTTGCACTCCAGACCAGGAAAAGCCCTCTGACAACCACACAGTTGAGTAGAAATGCAATCCGTTTATTTAATTAAGCAGTAAAGTAAAAAAGTACTTAAAAGGAATAGGTAAATCCAATTAGGTAGGAAGATAAGCTGGAACCCGATAGTCCAGGGTAATAGTCCGTCAAAGTCCATGAAAAACAAAGGCAGAAATTTCCGAAATAAACAAGAAATACTTAAGCATGAAACTTCCAAGCAAGGCTTCTATGAAACAAGGACGAGAACTTAACTTGATTCCAAACAATGCTTCATCTGGCCACATTTCCCATACTTGGAACTTTTATCCCCTCATTAAGCTATACCAAGCACTCAGAAATTAGTTTCACTTTGCTTGGGATTCCCTTATCCTTTTCTGTCGGAGCCTGGCAGAACGCCGAAGGCACTGTTCGGCTCTTCTGTTTTGACTAATCTCCTCCCGTCTATCTATTTGCTCATTAATTTCCGCAGCTGGGCCAGGTGCCGAGTTGTTTTCAAGTCCCAAATCCTGGGGCTTCTATCTCCTCGTTAAGCTATACCAAGCACTCAGGAATTGGTTTCGCTTTGCTTGGGATTCCCTTATCTTTTTCTGTTGGAGCCTGGCAGAACGCCGAAGGCACTGTTCGGCTCTTCTGTTTTGACTAATCTCCTCCAGTCTATCTATTTACTTATTAATTTCTCCAGCTGGGCCAGGTGCCGGGTTGTTTTCAAGCCCCAAATCCTGGGGCTTCTATCTCCTCGTTAAGCTATACCAAGCACTCAGGAATTGGTTTCGCTTTACTTGGGATTCCCTTATCCTTTTCTGTCGGAGCCTGGCAGAACGCTGAAGGCACTGTTCGGCTCTTCTGTTTTGACTAATCTCCTCCTGTCTATCTATTTACTTATTAATATCTGCAGCTGGGCCAGGCGCCGAGTTGTTTTCAAGCCCCAAATCCTGGGAACTCTCTCAGGGAGTACACCATCGTCCCCACACCCTTCAGGGACATTCTCATGGGAAACTACACTTTGAAGGTCTCCTGGTCCTTCTCTGCATCAGTATTATTGACATCCTGAAACTCATTTAAATCACTCCCCACATCCAAAGCACCCTGATCCTGAAACACAATCACAGGCTGAGCTCCAACACCTGTAAAGTCAGACCCCATTAGAGTCAGAAACAGTTAGAGTGGGAATCTGTTTTAGTCATCGTCCTCATCGTCGCACCTTCAGGGGGAGTGTAAGCCTGTTGAGCACAGGTTGCCACCCAATACCCCGGTCGGCCCCGCGACTGACCAGGAGGACCTCTGTGTTGTCTGAATTAAGCTTCAACCTGTTAGCCCTCATCCAGTCCATCACAGCTCTCAGACACTGGTTCAAGGTCTGGGAGGCTTCCTTGGAATTAGGTGGAAATTAGTAGTAGAGTTGGGTGTCATCTGCATACAGATGGCACCCAACTCCAAAACTCCGGATAACATCACCCAGCGGTTTCATGTAGATACTGAAAAGCATGGGGGATAGAATGGAACCTTGCGGGACCCCACAGGTCAAAGGCCACGGGTCCGAGCAGGTATCCCCCAGCTTCACCAGCTTCACCAACTGGGAGCGACCCTCCAGGAAGGAGTGGAGCCACTGCAGAACAATGCCTCCAAGACCCATTCCAGAGAGCCGCCCCAGAAGGATACCATGGTTGATGCTATCGAACGCCGCTGAGATGTCCAGGAGAACCAACAGGGACACACTCCCCCTGTCAAGCTCTCTTCAGAGGTCATCCACCAAGGCAACCAAAGCCGTCTCAATACCATTGTTTTGTCATGTCAGGTGCGTCGTTTCTGGTGTGAGAGAATTGGCCGTCTGCAAGGACGTTGCCCAGGGGACGCCCGGATGATTTGATGTTTTATCATCCTTGTGGGAGGCTTCTCTCATGTCCCCGCATGAGGAGCTGGAGCTGATAGAGGGAGCTCATCCGCCTCTACCTGGATTCGAACCTGCAACCTGTCAGTCTTCAGTCCTGGTTTAACCCACTGTGCCACCGGGGGCTCCACCGGGGGTCTCAGTACCATGACCAGGTCTAAAACCAGACTGTGATGGATCTAGGTAGTCAGTGTCATCTAGGAATCCCTGGAGTTGGGAGGCAACCACCCGCTCTAGAACCTTGCCCAAGAAAGGGAGGTTAGAAATTGGCCAGTAGTTATTTAGGACTGAGGAATCTAGGGACGCCTTTTTGAGTAATGGTCTCAGCGTTCAGCTAGAATAGCTACTAAAAACGCTGAGCTAATTGGGAGACACCCTAGCACCTCATAGGAATTCAGAGCTATAAATCAGAGGCAGGAGCAGTCAACTTTGGCTAGTAACAACGACTTTATGCCAATGTTTTCACTCCAATTGAACCTGCTTTATGTCTGCTACTAAGAACTTAGTGATCATTGCCCATTGTCTGATGGAAGACTGCTGTTTCTTTTGGGACTTTCTAAGAGATTTTAATTTGTGTCTGCATTAAGACTTCCTTGCTTTCTTTTGCATTTTTCATTTGCTGAAGTAAAGCATCTTTCTTTTACTTTCAACATTGTATTATGGCTGTTTTTGAAGGGCAACTCAGGACACTCACCTTGGTTTCCTTGCATTTCCCAGAGGCCTCTGGGACTAGCAGTCTCTTTCAAGAGACGTTTAGGGTAAGACGAGGATCCCGCCAGCGCAACAGGTCTGCTCCTCTCTTCCAGCTTTGCGGCTACAGAGCTGTTGGAGCCGTCCAGTCCCTCGAAGGCCCTCCAGGACTCCGTGGACGGGGCCTCGCTCTCCCCGGCCCCTTCTTCCCAGCCTTCAGAGATCGGGTATTTGAACGTTGCTTCCCCAGCGGAGCCAGCCCATCTCCCCGACGAGGAGGAGCAGCCGGACGAAGCCTTCCCTTGCGACGACCGCGTGTAAACATGCTCCGAAGCAGAACAAGCACATATTTCTTCCATTCTAAGACACGCTTTTCCTCCCACTTATAGACACGTCTCTCGAAATGGGGTGCGCCTTAGGATCTGTTGCAAAATCGATGAGATATGGTGCTTCTTGGACTTCCTCATCTGAACCAGTCGTATTTTTGCACATGCGTAGTAGTCACTTTTTGCCTTGTACCGGATGTAATAAATGTATATATACTCTTGGAAATGACATGGCGGTTGGTACTCACTGGGGCAAGCAACAGAGTTTGCCCCAAAGCCTTGAGCATCCTTGTGGAGTCTTCCATGTTCAAAGCTTTATTCACGAGCAGGAATCTAACTGTCATGCAAAATAATAATAATAATAATAATAATAAAAAATGTGTGCTTAATGTGTGCTTAATGAAACTGTTTAATATGAATGCAAGCACCAGGATCGTTGCTTCGATGTGAAAACATCATTTGGGGAGAAATGAATATATAAATATATAATAAATATTAAAATCATAGAAGAAGCAGGAATATTACATTCAAACCACCCCTGACAGATAGCCATCCAGCCTCCCTTCTGCTAACCCTTTGAGAAGCAAAACAACCACCACCTCCTCCTCCCCCTCCTCCTCATAGAATCCTAGAATCAAAGAGTTGGAAGAGACCTCCTGGGCCATCCAGTCCAACCCCATTCTGCCAAGAAGCAGGAATATTGCATTCAAATCACCCCTGACAGATGTCCATCCAGCCTCTGTTTAAAAGCTTCCAAAGAAGGAGCCTCTACCACACTCCGGGGCAGAGAGTTCCACTGCTGAACGGCTTTCACAGTCAGGAAGTTCTTCCTCATGTCCTTTCTTGTAGTTTGAAGCCATTGTTCCATTGCGTCCTAGTCTCCAAGGAAACAGAAAACAAGCTTGCTCCCTCCTCCCTGTGGCTTCCTCTCACATATTTATGCATGGCTATCATGTCTCCTCTCAGCCTTCTCTTCTTCAGGCTAAACATGCCCAGCTCCTTAAGCCACTCCTCATAGGGCTTGTTCTCCAGACCCTTGATCATTTTAGTCGCCCTCCTCTGGACACATTCCAAATATCATAACAGTAATAAATTGAAATATATAATAAATATTAAAAATATAATTGTAATAAAAATGCAACAAATATAAAATATAATAATAAATATAACTATAGAATAAATATAAAATACAATCATTATTCATAATAATAATTGCTAATATGGAATAAATATAAAATATAGTCATAATAAATATATATATAATTTATAATAAATAGGCCTGGGCAATCCATGGTTCTAAATGGTTCTAAAGTACTTACAAAACTGAAGTTCTGGTGGTGAAAATTTGAGAACTCTAAGAAAACTTTCAAAATTGTTATTTCATTATTGGTGATTTTTAAGATAGAACCAATTAGGAGCTGCCATTTATAATGAAATTTTGAGAGTTTTGTTAGAGTTCTGAAATTTTCACCACCAGAACTTTAGTTTTATAAGTACTTTAGAACCACTTAGAACCATGGATTGACCAGGCCTATCTATCCATCTATTTATCTATCAATTCATTATTGGCGATTTTTATGACAGAACAAATTAGTAACTGCCATTTATAATGAAATTTTGAGAGTTTTGTTAGAGTTCTGAAATCTATTTCTTATAGGGTAGACGGGATGGCCCTTGGGGTCCCTCTAGGATTTTATCTATCTATCTATCTATCCATCCATCCATCCATCCATCCATCCATCTAGCTAGCTATCTATCGATCCATCCATCCATCCTTCTATCTATCTATCTATCTATCTATCTATCTATCTATCTATCTATCTTTCTTTCTATCTATCTATCTATCTATCTATCTTTCTATCTATCTATCTATCTATCTATCTTTCTATTTATCTTTCTATCTATCTATCTATCTATCTTTCTATCTATCTATCTTTCTATCTATCTATCTATCTATCTATCTTTCTATCTATCTTTCTATCTATCTTTCTATCTATCTTTCTATCTATCTATCTATCTATCTATCTTTCTATCTATCTATCTATCTATCTATCTATCTATCTATCTTTCTATCTATCTTTCTGTCTATCTATCTGTCTATCTATCTTTCTATCTATCTATCTATCTATCTTTCTATCTATCTATCTATCTATCTATCTATCTTTCTTTCTATCCATCCATCCATCCATCCATCTATCTATCTATTAGGCCTGGGCAATCCATGGTTCTAAATGGTTCTAAAGTACTTACAAAACTAAAGTTCTGGTGGTGAAAATTACAGAACTCTAACAAAATTTAATTATTATTTCATTATTGGCAATTTTTATGACAGAACCAATTAGGAACTGTCATTTATAATGAAATTTTGAGTGTTTTGTTAGAGTTCTGAAATTTTCACCACCAGAACTTTAGTTTTGTAAGTACTTTAGAACCACTTAGAACCATGCCTTGAACGGGCCTAATAATTATTATTATTTGACCGCTGACCCAGCGTCGACGGCATCGGAGTGGAACCGCTGTCCTTCACGGAAAGAACCCTCCCGTGGTTACTACGGAGACCGGAGAGAATGCCGCGGAGGTTGGGACAGTTTAAGCGGACAGTTGGAGTGAACAGAAAGCTTGGTGAGAAATGTCATTTTATTCCAACAGAAGGATGTGACTCTCCCAATGGATCTCCAAATGGCCAGCTCGGTTCAAAACTCTCGACCGTTGCCTTTTTTGCAGGAGCCGCCGTTGCATTTCGGAAGGACTTAATGGAGGAGGAAGAGCCCGTAAGTGACGGAAAGGCCATTCGCCACCTTCGCCATTCAACACAAGTTATTTTACATTTATTTTTAAAGTATTTATATAAATACTAGTTGTACCCGCCACACGTTGCTGTGGCCAACCGTCCCTCCTTCTTTCTTTCCTTCTTTCCCTCCTTCCTTCACTCCCTCTTTCCTTCCTTTCCCCTTTTTCTTGATCTCTTTTTTCTCTCATTTCTTCCCTACTTCCTTCCTTTGTTTTTTTGCTTTCATCCTTTCTTCTCTCTTTCCTTCTCTCCTTCTTTCCCTCCTTCCTTTGCTCCTTCCTTCCTTCCTTCCTTCTTTCCTTCCCTTTTTTCTTTCCTTCTCTCCTTCCTTCCTTCTCTATCTTTCCTTCCTTCCCCCTTTTTCCTGATCTCTTTTTTCTCTCATTTCTTCCTTCCCTACTTCCTTCCTTCCTTCGCTTTTTGCTTCCATCCTCTCTTTTTCTCCTTCTTTCCCTCCTCCTCCCTTTTCCTTCCTTCCCCTTCCCTTTCTTCCCTTCTTTCCTTCCTTCCCTTTCTCTCTTTTTTCCTTCCCTACTTCCTTCCTTTGTTTTTTGCTTCCATCCCTTCTTCTCTCTTTCTTTCCCTCCCTTTTTCTCTCCTTCTTTTCCTCCTTCCTTCCTCTTTCCTTCCTTCCTTTTTTTTCTTTCCTTCTCTCCTTCCTTCCTTCTCTATCTTTCCTTCCTTCCCCCTTTTCTTTATCTTCTTCTTTCTCTCATTTCTTCCTTCCCTACTTCCTTCCTTAGTGTTTTGGTTCCATCCTCTCTTTCCTTCCCTCCCTCTTTCTCTCCTTCTTTCCCTCCTTCCTACGCTCCCTCTTTATTCCCTTCCCTTTTTCTTTACTTCTCTGCCTTCCTTCCCTATCCTTCCTTCCCTACTTTTTCTTGATCTTTTTTTTCTCTCATTTCTACCTTCCCTACTTCCTTCCTTAGTGTTTTGCTTCCATCCTCTTTCCTTCCCTCTCTCTTTCTCTCCTTCTTTCCCTCCTTCCTTCGCTCCCTCTTTACTCCCTTCCTTCCCTTTTTCTTTACTTCTCTCCCTTCCTTCCCTATCTTTCCTTCCTTCCCCCCTTTTTCTTGATCTCTTTTTTCTCTCATTTCTTCCTTCCCTACTTCCTTCCTTCCTTCGCTTTTTGCTTCCATCCTCTCTTTCCTTCCCTCCCTTTTTCTCTCCTTCTTTCCCTCCTTCCTTCACTCCCTCTTGCCTTCCTTCCTTCCCTTTTTTCCTTCTCTCCTTCCTTATTATTTATTTATTTATTTACTTCATTTATTTATTTACTTCATTTCCTTCCTTCCCTCCTTTTTCTTTATCTCTTTTTTCTCTTTCCTTCCTTCCCATACTTACTTCCTTCGTTTTTTGCTTCCATCCTATTTCCTTCCTTTCTCTCCATCTTTCCCTCCTTCCTTCGCTGCTTCCTTCCTTCCTTCCTTCCTTCCCTTTTTCTTTCCTTTCTCTCCTTCCTTCCTTCCCCCTTTTCTTTATCTTCTTCTTTCTCTCATTTCTTCCTTCCCTACCTCTTTCCCTCTTTCCTTCCTTCCTTCCCTTTTTCTTTACTTCTCTCCTTCCTTCCTTCCTTCCTTCCCCCCTTTTTCTTTATCTCTTTTTTCTCTTTTTCTCTTTTTTCTCTAATTTCTTCCTTCTCATGTTTCCTTCCTTAGTTTTTTGCTTCCATCCTTTCTTCTCTCTTTCCTTCCCTCCCTTTCTCTCTCCTTCTTTCCCTCTTTCCCTTCCCTCCTTCTTTCCTTCCTTCCCTTGAGAGTGGGTCATGGGGGCTCTGTGTGCCAAGTTTGGTCTTGATCGGTCATTAGATGAGGGTTGCAGCAGTCTTGGGAAGTGAGTGGAGGTACTTGAAGTCCCATAATCCATAGTCTGTTCTCCCCCAAACCTCACCAGAATGTTGAGTTGGCCACGGGGGCTCTCTTTGTCAAGTTTGGTCTTTATTGGTATTTGGATGAGTGTTGCTGTGGTTTCAGGAAGTGAGTGAAGGTACAGCAAGTCCCATCATCCATTGTCCATCCTCCTCCAAACAGCGCCGGGATGTAGAGTGGTTCATGGGGTCTCTGTGTGTCAAGTTTGGTCTTGATCGGTTATTAGATGAGGGTTTCAGCAGTCTTGGGAAGTGAGTGGAGGTACTTGAAGTCCCATGGCCCATCCTCCTCAAGTCTGCACCAGGATGTAGAGAGGGTCATGGGGGCTCTGTGTGCCAACTTTGGTCTTGATCAGTCATTGGATGAGTGTTGCAGAGGTCTCAGAAAGTGAGTGAAGGTACTGCAAGTCCCATCATCCATGGTCCATCCTCCTCCAAGCAGCACCAGGATGTAGAGTGGCTCATGGCTCTGTGTGCCAACTTTGGTCTTGATCGGTCATGAGATGAGGGTTGCAGTAGTCTTGGGATGTGAGTTAAGTTACTTCAAGTCCCATCATCCATGGCTCATCCT